ACACACACACACACACACACACACACACACACACACACACACACACAGGCTGAGCAGAGCCTCCTTGAGCCTAAGCTGTGAACACGGTCTGAGGGGACTGGTTCCCAGTTGGGGACCAGAAACAGGCTGCTGCTGCTTTCTGAAATTGCATTTACATTTCTAAAAAATAAATAAAAAGAACTGTCTGAATACACCAATGAGCCTGCAGGTGAGAGTTCTTTCTGAGCTGCAACACCAAATTATCAAACTTAAAATGCATAAAAAAAGATTCACATTCTTTCTAATGCCCACATACATTTGTACATCTCACTTATTTCTATGAATTTGGTCACGCAGGTGTAGGTGGAACTGATATACTATTAGTTTTTTCTACTGTTTTTACTTCAGTCATTGCCTCAGAGTGGAAAAAAGATGAGCTTATCTTTACATTTCTGCTCCAGTGAAGCAGCCCTGCTAATGAAATACATCTGTTCCAGAAAATATCTAAATGGTGGGATCCAAATAAAAAAGGTAATTGTTGCATTTTTGTCTGTACTCATTTATATTACGTCTACTGTGTGTATAAGGCTTGAATAAAATTCCCCATATTTAAATGACACGTTGCTTCCATGAAGAGAAACAAGCTACGTATTCCACACCTGGAAGGGTTTCAAGGACTAAAACTGGAACATTTTCAGGAAAATATAAACCCGACATGTCTACGTTTGCTGAAAAATAAAGATTGTGAATAAAGTATTGGCTGTGGTTTTCTAAGGGATGTGAAATGAGACCTTTGGGTGTCGACAGGCGTGGATCTGAGTCCTGCGGTCCGTGGTGATGTAGCTCAGGATTTCAGGCATCTTCTTAAACATGGCAAGACTGTTGACGTGGATCTGAAGGGAAACAACCCACACAAGAGAATGTCACAGGAGGCCCAGCAGCACATCAGCAGCCAGAGACAACTGACCGGTCCACAGTCCACTCAGCTTAAACTGAAACGGGCAGAGCGACTAAAATGATTCTTGGTAGATACAGTTAGCTCTTACTGCGTGTGAACGCCTCACCTGTGTGTTGAACGTTTCTCCCAGGTTGGTAAACAAGTACTCGTATCCGTACGCTGCTTTGCAGTTGAGCCACGCGACATGATACGAACTCTGGTTGATCCAGTTTCCAATGAGCTCAGAGATACCGTTCAAACAGAGCTCCTAAACACACACACACACGGATCATTAAGGGATTACTACAAATACAGACGATAAAAAACCATCTCAACTGTAATTCAAAGATGGAAAAATAATCTCAAGAATTTAAGTTCTCTTAAATGGGAAATTGTGACATTTCACCTCTAAAGACTCTGGAACTGAGTCTGCAAACTCAAAAATAGTTTGATGGGTTCTACCTGCAAACTGTCTTAAGGTGGAAACATTTTAACCACTGCTTTGATTTTTCCACACATTTGCTTGCAAACTAGACACGCTTTATTCATATTTTCCACTACCACTGATTTTCCTACAAAATCATTACCACATGTTTGAATAATATCATTACTGTTCTTTCATCTTTATCTGTCCCCAACCATCCAGCATTCTCTGTGACAGAAATGCTAACAGAAATTGATGTTCGTCAAGGCATTAAATAAAAACTGACAAAAAAAAATGTATTCGAGTTCTAAAATAAACTAAAAGGTAAACACAGGAATATTCCTCTTCTTTGATGCTTGTGAATCCTTTGCGCATTAAGGACAGAAATCATATTCACCCGAGTGGGGATCTGGTAGAAGCGTGGATCATAGAAAGTTGAATCCAGATAAATGCTCTGAATATCTTTCACCCTGTGAAATGTGGAAAGGTTACATCAGCAATGAAATCGTTCCAAAAGATGAGAGAAAAAAGGAGGGGGGGGGGCATTAAAGGACCTGCTGCCAGAGTGCAGGTGCTCTATCCTGGAAGCGTCTCCGGGGGCCAGCCTGAAGTCTCCCGTGTACAACACATTCCCCTGTGCCCCCTCAAACAGGAACCTACAGATACACACCACGTGTGACACAAACTGTGCAGCCAACCGGAAATGACACTGATATCCTAAACTACAACACCCTGAACAAGGGCCGCTGTCCTGCAGATTTCTGACCTTTTCCTGCTTCTGCACACCTGATTCTGATAAACTGGATCAGCTCAAAGGCTCCGCTCAAGCCTGATAGCGGCACGCTGGCGGGAATCAGGCGTATTGAAGCAGGAAAACTTCTAAAACCGGCAGGACTGCGGCCCTCCAGGACACACTTTGGACGCCCCTGGCTTAAACTGTCTCCACCTCCCTCTATATATTCATGCATTTGCTTTAAGAATGTCAAAGAACAACCATTAAACAGGAGATTCATGTTCAAGTTCAATCAAGAAGATTTTAAAAGATGCTTTGTTTTCCCTCTCAAGGCCAAAGTAAAAAGGAAAGGAAAAGTGGTGGAACTGACATGACGGAGCCGGGACAGTGGCCTGCAGGCAGCAACGTCACCACGATGTCTTCTTTCTGTTAAACACCGAAAAACACGGTTAAAAAACACATAGCGAGAGTGTGCAGATTCTCCATTGTGACCTGGTGAATACAACCTGATCTCACAACAGATGTGTTTCTAACCTGAGAAGCTTTACTGTCATAGTCAAAGAAAAACACACACCTCCCCAGATGCTTCATCCACCAGGGAAATCTGAGTCGGGCTCTCCAGCTCCAGAGGAACCTGAAAGAAAAGAAACCAATCATCGAGACACACAGCAAACAAGCTTAGATTCCAACTTTACCCGTACTGGATTTTATTTGAAGAAAAAAAACAACTCACGATGTATTCCTCCCAGAAGGCATACTTTGGGTTGTTGAGCAGCAGCTCTTTGGTCACAAAGGAGCAGTACAGCCGGACCGTGCGGCTGCAGACAGAAAACAGCCTTCACTTCTCCCAAATATGAGAGGTTCATTTTGAAGTGCTTCAAGTGTACGCACAAGGCAAGACGGGAGGCTTTAATGATGCCCTGGCTGATATCAATACAGCTGCTATGAGAATGGATCTACAGTAGTGAGAAGTGGGAGGAAATGAAACACAATGACACATCCTGAGAATTTGTGTCTAAAAGTTCAATTTCAACTGGCTCTTCTTTCTTTCTTTTTTTTTTTTTAATTTCCTTAAAGAGCCTTAAGGAAAAACCACATTCCTCAAAATTCTCAGCTGATAAGATGGGATGATTTAAATAAGTTTCCTAACAGAATCACTCTCCTGTTTAACAAAATATATGACAAAAACTACATTTGAAATGAAGTCTTTGTTCATTTAAATATTTAAGCTCTAATTGAAGAGGTAGAAATGTCAACACGCCACTTTTTGCCTTGGTCAGTTTATTTTATTCTATCTTAATTGCCAAATAATAAATTAATGTCGTTATAAGTGTGGTGTCTGGTTTCTTAAAGCATTCCGACCTTTACTTACGGTAGAAAAATACTACTATCACCTGATATGCAGTTTTCTCTTCAGAAAAGGTCCTTTCAGTCCCTTCATGTGGTCTGTTGACGGTAAAACCAAAACAGTTTGAAAAAGGCCACTAATTTGGCGAAACCGTCCCAGCTGTGAGGCTGCTAGCTTACCTTTGTGACAGTGGGAGAGGAAATATGCCCGGGCATGTAGGTTCTCCCTGTCGAACCGGTCCAGAGAAATGTACGGATACTCCTTCATTCGACCCAAAAACGAGCTCATATCTGTTCTGAGCTCTTTCACAGTAGTTACAAATAATAACCTAACGCCGCTAGCCGCATTCAGACGCCGACATACTTTCCGAGCATCACCTGAATTCAGTTTGTTTGTCCCGCCCACAGAAAAAAAAACAAAAAAAAGACCAACCATTCTTCTTCTACGTTCTTTTTAGTGGCAGTTCCGGCACATACAGCTCACAGCGCCATCTACTGTCATAGACGAATACGACCGCTTCCGGTTTTCATAGTATTACAGACCGTGACGTTCTGAACCATAGACACCATCCAGACATTTAAGGTCTTTAGATAAAGTTTTTTCTTCCAACTAAACGGAGCCTAGGTCCTTTCAGTGTTTAAGGATTATGTTTATGGTAGAGACTCCAAGATAACTACAGGTCCATCTCAAATCTGAAGACTTTCCAGTTTACCACCACAAGGTACATACTGTGACACAAAGTAAAATATAACTCACCATCAGACTTTTTTTTATGTCCGTTTAATATGTGTTTTGGGCAAATGTAGGGAAAAAGCTGTTGTGGAATATGTATCATTGGACATAACTACGCATGAGTAACTTTAGAATGATGATGAAAAGCAATTTCTGATGTCATGAAAGTGAAAATGGTCCTTTCAAATGCATTAAACTGGATTTAAACTTTTAATGGATCAACAGGCTGTTTACTCCAGTGTAGTCAACAGTTTTCAGGTTAAGCTGGGCCGTGTGCTAGAATAATCTGAGTCACTTTCATTATAATTTTCGTTTTTGTTTCAGGATCACTTTATAATAACTTTCCAGGTACTACATCTGAAACTTACCCTTCTGACAAAACTATGGTAATGTTCATGAACCGTTTACGTCAAATAAACTAACAATACAAAATAAAGCCGATATTCTGCTTGAGGCGGGTCGTCACAGAGAGATAAGCAAAAAGATTTTTCCTTCAGTGCAGCTGCGTAGGCTGGAATAGTATCCACACATTTGAAAATGGATGTGGATCAGAGGCCTGCAGCCCATTTTCGAGCTTCTGTGCTTCATGAATTAATGCACAAACATGTTTTCTTCATCAGGCTGAGGATCACTGAGGAAATACTCTGTGCCTTGTGCTCACGGCATGTTTCAATACAATGCAGAGGCTTTTCTTTTGCTGGGATTAATCTCAGTCTGTCACATTCTCCTCATGTGATGGTAACATGGAGGGAGATTATGTGTGGACCCCGCTGCCTCTCACATCTGAGCTTCTTAATCCTAATTAAGACCTTCTCCTGCCTCTCCCAGAGAGAAGTTTATGCTTATTAATTTGTTATTAAACGGGAAAAGAACTAAACAGTTGATCCCAATGCTGGAGCATTAAATAGATCTGACCTGTTCACTCTGGTTGGAACCCAGGTCTCTCCCTGGAGTACTTATGTCATCTCACTGTGTCAATATCTATTTCAATAAATAAAATAAAAAGACTATTAGTATTTCTTTTGGGAATCTTTTCTGTTAAACCAAAAAGATCAACATTAACCCCCTTTGTGTCAGGAAATACAAAATATATTATAGGTGTTGTAAATAAATGAGCCCAAACAGAAGCCGGAGCATGACTTAAGAAGCATGTCATCTTTTTGTGTTTCGTTTTTCTAGCCCCATCTGATCATCTCGGTCCGGTTTGAGGGATTTAGGAAGGAGACAGCGTGCATCTCTGATAAGTCAATTTGGTGAGCCGCGCGAGCGCCGGTGACGTCACCCGACCAGCGGTCGGCTCAACAACAGTGAAGTGCACTCACCTTTAACAGCTTGAACTGAAGCTACCGGGCTTATTCCCTTTAATTCTGACCCTATTGCACGGCTTTTGCGAAGTTATGTTGTCGCCGGAGTCTACACGGGAGCTGTGAGGCAAGTAAATCTGACGGAAACGAGCGGTTTAGCAGCTTTTCCGCTCCGTTTTTGAGAGTATGTTGATTCTGGGGCGGTGGAGGAACGTATGCCCGGTTAGCTTAGCTTCGTTAGCCTGCCTTCAGTTAGCCTTGGGTCGCTTATAACCAGCAAAGCTTGGGTTGGCTAAAGGGTGAGGGCAGCTTTACTGCTGTCTTTTATCGTGCCAGTTTACGAGTATTAAACGATATTGCCAGCTGATGATAACTTGTTCTTTCGACGCATTACTGGCGTATCGCTAGCCTCAGACCGGTTAACCTGAGGTGAGTTTACTTACACAGCTAACAATCACAGTTTCTGCAAACTTAAGATTGTTTTTAAATCTGTAACCAGCTCAATAAACTGTGTATAAACTAAATAAAGTGGTCAAATATGGAGTGAAACTTCAGACAGAACAGTCTAAACTCTCCCACAAGGCACTGACACTTGGCTTTTCTATTTAAACACATTACACTGAGTATATTCCTTTATGAATAATGATCTAAATCAATGTCTTATTTTATTACAAATCATCCATCAAATTTATTAACACTTGTATGGTTGATGTAACTTAATTTCGATGTAACTGTAAAAATCCTGAAATATTACATGCATTTGGTGCTTGTATTATAACTTTGACATCATAGAGATTTGAATTAGATTTGTTACTGCTGTCTAACTTCAGTTAACAATAATCTATTGCTTCACTCTTTAACACACCCAAATCATGTTGTTTTGAGACAGATTGTAATCCTATTTCTGGCGTTGAAAGTAATTAAACTGATTTAAAAGTGGTTTTCTGTACCTTGGTTATAGTCTCAACTGGTTTGATTTAGCTCAGTATGAGTTTATTATAGTTAATCAGAAATAAAAAGTTACCTGGTTTACATGGTTACCTTCAGTGATATTGAGCTGAATGTTATGGGGTTTTTATCACTGCCGTCACTTTTCTTGTTTTCTACAATTCTTCAATGGTATCAGTGCAAATATGGTCTTTCTTTGGTGGGTTTTACAAGCATGCCGATGTCATTTTATTTATTCTATTGAAATATCCATATCCAAAACTCCAAACCCTAACCCCCAAATCTTTACTTATTATATTTCAGATGTCAAACATTGCTCCAAAAGCAATTACTTAAACTATTTTAAATCTTTTTTCCAGGTTTCTTGTTTACCTCCAGTAACCAGTATTCAGCTGACTGTTTTGTCCGTGACCTGTCTCCAGCCTCTACAGTATCATAACTCTCAGTTCACATGTGAAGCAGAAACTTTCCTTGTTATCTCACTTAAGCTGGGTGGTTGTTTTAAGAAGCCTATTGAATCACAAGGCTGTGGAGGAATGTTGCTTTAGGCCAGGTTTATTCCATCCTATAATGAGGCTGTTGTTTGCCCCTTGAGTGTATTTTTTTCTGCTGAGACAGCTTTGAGAGGGTTTTATTTCCTTTCCTGCTGCCTTGTCACCCATAAAAGCAGAAATAGAGGCATCTGTTTCTGTGAGAACCATTCTGCAGGGTTTTTAGGAGTGTTTACTATCTCTTTAAGCCGTTGTGTTGTCTCAGTCTCATGATAAAATAGTCAAAACCTCGAGAAGACCAAGATAAACACTTTTTTTTATAGTTTTGTGCGCTGCCTAATGTGTCTAAAAATAGGCTGTTGCCCCCAGCTGTGCTAACAGAAAAGGGATGTGGGCGAATTTGTCACGAAATGAGCCAAAACGTTGCCTTTCCTTCTTATAGAAAGTGAATGTTTCCATTTGATGTGACTGTATGAGACTATAAGTGAGGTTTATGAAAATGATACTTTAACTGATTAAGGTTGGCAATGGGAAAAAACCTTCCTGTCACTCAGCTTGTACTTTATAGTCAGAGATTAGACTTGTTCATTAACAGTATGCAGTCTTACCTTATAATTAGAGCCGTTTCATGCAGCGGTTAAGGTACTCCCACGTTGTGAGATACCGGGCAAGTTTTCAGAGAACCGGGTTACACTGATAACCTGACTGTTTTTAAAAGTCAGCACTACAAAGGAAGTAAAGAAAAAATAGGTCAATCCATAAAGAAAAACATTTTCTGTAGTTTATTACTGGAATCCTTTACATTGGTTGTAGTTGTTATGCCAAATGGAGGTTTGAAAAACTGAAATATTATTTACACAGTTCAAACTGTATTTTAATTCAATTCAATTCAATTTTATTTATATAGCGCCACATCACAACAACAGTTGTCTCACAGCGCTTTCCATTTTACTCTCCTGAACGATCATTGGTTCAGTGGTCATCTACAGACTGCTTCCAGGGTTTATTCCTGTCGTGGTTATCTACATGGAAACTTTAAAAGAAAAAGCTCACACGAGAATTTTGCCTCCTCCATTTTTTCCTGCAGGTTGACAATGCCTTAAAGGCTGAGCAGAACAGCTATTACCCCATAAATCTTTTACTAAAGATGCTAGTTCTTTGGCTGATGTAAGAGTATATCTTCAGTTTCGATAACAACCACCCAGCTAAATTTAGGCAACACCTGTTATGTTTTTCTCAATTCTATTGTCAATTGTGAAACTTGCACACATTTCACGTGATCCAAGTCAGTTTTATCATTATTCTCATTTAAGGATGTAAAGTTAAGGGGAAATTAGGTGAAGCTGGGCAGAACCGAAGAGGTTCAGTTTGCAGTTCATGTAAAAGGGAAAAATCGGTTTAAAAAAAAAATTTAAATAAATAAATTTAAATATTACATTGTTGAGGCGTGAAAAAGGTTTCATGTGGGAAACGGTTAAAAACCAGATGCTCAACATCATATGACGGAATAAAGGTTATTCTTGAATTCTATACAATGGAGAGGTTGACACTCTTTCGAAATGAGCCGATTTAGTGGAATGTGGTCCAAGTGGATTGAATATGTTCTGATGGAAGAACTAAACTAAACAAATTTATATAAAATTAGTTTCAGATGATGATTTAATGAATCAAAGTCTTCCGTTTTTAGTAATGCAAGGTAAATGAGAGAGAGTGGTGATGTGTTTATCTTATGTAGAGTGTTTTTTTACCTGCCCTGATGTGTGAGGGATCTCTTAAATATGAAGTTTGGAAGAAGAGAGAGAGATGAACACTAGAATGGGCCCTCACAGCTGAATCGGTGAAAAAAGTTTTTCTGATTCCAGCTTCCTCTTTTGTCAGTCATCACCAACACAGTTTACTCTCACAATTGAGCCAGCTGTGGTTTGTTATCTGCAAATAGAGGAAGTGAAGCAGAAGGAACTGCACTCAGATTTAGTTGACATTTCAGTGCTTTCTTCAGCCAACAGCCACAGAGGCACAGTTTTTTTCACAGTTTTAACACCATCAAAATAAAGTCCAAAAGATTATCTGCAACAAAAATGCTCTAAAATGGTAAAAAAAATATTTGTTTCAGCTGATCAGCAAAAATTAAAGATTTCTCCTGTTGCAATGTTACAAAAAAGACATAAAAAAACAAACAGTTCATGTTTTCAGAGGCAAAAAGTGCTGTTTGCTTGGTAAATAACTGTAACTAACATAATGAATTACACAATAGAATCCGATTACTACATTAATCAGATTTACCAATTAGCTAAACTAAAAGAGTCATTTCAAAGATAAGATATTGTTCCAGATAAATATAAAGTCAATGTGCATAAGTCATGGATGGATCAGAGACAGAATAATACATTTGGAGCTGGAACTGGTGCTAAAGGGACCGGTCCGGACTTTGCTCGGCTGGTCTGTTGTAGTGCGTCAGTACCTCCGTAACCACTGACTGCTGAGGATATTAACAGAAAGTAATCGAGCTATCTGGTCCCTGCGGGTGGATCCAGAGACGTTTATTTTTTCTCCTCTGAGTTTCACATTTATCTGTGGTCAATACCACTGGAACAAAACTTTCTGTGTAGTCAGTTTGTGCTTTGTGTGTTCACCTGAAACCACATTTCCATACACATTCGTCGAGAGGCTGTTTCCCTCCTTTTTGCTGCCGTTAGGCCTCCGTCACAAGATCTGTGTTTGAGATTTGTCGGACACAATCACTGTTCAGTGCACACGTCCGTTCACATTACATTATCAGTTGGTCACGGCTCAGTTATCCCTCCTCACCTCTTTTTACTTTCCAAATCATTCAGAAAAAGCAAAGGGGCTTCATATGCCTGGACCACTTGTGTTTGGATAGGTTTGGAATGGGCACTGTCTCTGGGTTTGTCAAAGGGCGTGTTTGAACATTTTAAAATAATCATACTAATGCTTTTTCAGTGTTTCCATCAAACTGCTAACGTGCCCAAACTAATGTGTGGTTTTCTAATGTGTCCCGGCATTTTGCTCTGGTTCAGATGAAATCTCATTTTCTGTGTGGTCCCTGCTCATTTTAAAGGGTCTAAAAATGGCTGGTTAGTTAGTCTTGCAGACACTAATTGCAGGGCCAAAATGAGTTCATGCTGCTCTTTGTTTTTAAGGTTATTTGAGTTGAGGCAGGATGCCCCAGTCGTGTGGCTCACCACAAATGTAAAAATCCTTCCTGCTGTCACACAGGTCAGCCGCCTACCAGGTCTGCAGCGCTCCGGCTCCGTAATGCTGCCAGCGGGGGGGGTCTGACGGTCCTAACACGCCCGAGGCGAGCATGCCGCGCCGGGCCGGCGCTCTGAGGAGGAAGTGCTGAATGAGCCTCTGCTGCAGCCGCCATGGACGACTTCCCCACCAGAAGCTATGGCACCAGCGGCCTGGACAACAGGCCCCTCTTCGGGGAGACCTCGGCTCGGGTGGGTATCAGCCGGGGGCCGATTCTGTGCTGTTCCCTGCTGTTACCTGTGTTCCTCAGGAATCGTCATAATATACTCACATTGTATCATGAACATTGTTCATCATCACTGAACAGAACTGGGATTTACATTAAAAAATATATTTATGAATGAGATGAGATGTGTATACCAATAGGCAGGGTTCTCAAACAGATACTAAAATTCTGAAGTGGAAGTAAGCAAGTCTTCATGTTTTTTCTTCAAAATTTTCATTGTTTTTGGATTAGACTGAATAAATTCTGCTGTGGTTGTACCTTGGGTCTGGTTGGTCTAACCCTGTTCTCTGTCTGAGAATTTGCATAATTTAAAAAGGACCCACAGTTTGTTTGTTTTTTAAGAAAAACAGGCTTTTTATCTGAGTTGTGTGCTTCATGTCAAACTTCACCTTAAGATAAACCATACATCAACGATTTGATTTATCCAGGGGCATGAAAAAATGTCACTTCTACAGTTCCGATTCAAACCCGTGTCTCTTCCCCAGGATCGAATCATCAACATGGCAGTTGGGGGATTTACGTCCGTGGTCGTCCTAGTAAGTATACAGCAGGGTCTTTGTCAGATGTTGGTGTTGACCCACAAGTTTAATTTCACATGAAGAGCCACAGCAGCTCAGCTCACAGCAAATCGGTTTGATTGGTGCAGCAGTCATGAGTATAGTTATTGGTTTCACGGAGTAGAATAAAAGTGGAACCCCTTTTAACGCCTCGTCATCTGACATCCGTTTTCAAAAAGCAGCAAACTAAAAGTCTGAATGAGTCCACATGAAATCAGTGGAAGAATGCAGAGAATGTATCTTGATGTTTCCCCTCTGAATGGATTAGAAGGCATCCTCATATTTTGGAGTAGTTGAATAGTCAGAAGTCATTATACTTAGAAAAGGGGGATCTGATTGCATGTGTTGTGTTGTTGACCGTGATTTAGTTTTGGTGTTTGTAGATTTAAAAAAAAAAAAAGTTTTCTAAACATTTTGCTGAAATGAAACAGAATTTGCTTTAAAGGCTAATGGTTTTTCTCTTGCTGACTCAGTCTCTTTCGACAAACCCTGAAAGCTGCTTGTTAAAGATTTACTTGATTTGTTTTAGTTATTCTCTGTACATCTACATCAGGATAGTGTCATGACTTGAACAAATATCTCTGTCCAACAGGTGACTGTGATCGGCTCTTTTGTGTTCCCAACGTTGCCCCCGCGGCCTCTAAACATATTCTTTGCCGTGTGCATCTTGTTAACGTGTGGATCCACAATAGTGCTGGTAATGCGCGCGCACAAACACACACACACGTCACACTATCTGTTTTTACTGCTCCACTTTCCCGTCATGTTCCTTCTACACGTCACTCCTATCAGTTTTTGTGACTACGGGAGCCCTGAAGGGAGAAACCCAACACCAGAGTTTTTTTCTGCATGTTTTGTTTCTGTGTGCCTGGAATGGGGGGGGGTCAGTTGTTTTTGTTGTTCCACTGATCTGTCCTTCTAAAACAATCTGTCCTCCATGTCTCCCCAGATATTCTGGTACCGGCAGGGAGACCTGGAACCTAAATTCAGGAACCTGATCTACTACATGCTGGCGTCCATCCTTCTGCTGTGTCTATGTGCCAACCTCTACTTCTTTGACGTCAGGTAAAGATGGAGGAAGAGGAAGGAGAGGGGGAAGAAGAAGGGACGACATGGCCTTGACAGATGGAAGCACAGGTGGAGGTCCTCCACTCCCATTGGACCAACACTGAAGACTCACATGACCAAAAAGAAAAAAAAAAAGAAAAAACAGACGCTGATAGACTAACCCGAACCTTTCAGGGGACCCTGGGACCAAAAACCAGCGAGGACCACTAACTATGTGTTAATGAGGAATTATGCAAGCACACTGGACACACACCAGGTCACAGTGTCAGAGCCTTGATGTACTGTTAAGAGGCCATAACTCTGTTTGCTGGGAGACAAACTTTCACAAAAACAGCTGTGTTTACATGCAAATAAACATCACTGATGACTGTAATCACATTTCCAAGGATACCACTCGATGGATGCAATAAGTGAGACTAAATGTGGATTTGGTTATCATCTTTCAATTGGCTATGCAAAGCATATGCAAACATATTGATCTTTTTTATAAGAGTCGGCAACAGCACAAGAGGGGAGTTACAGAATCACAGAATTAAGGTCAAGAAAAGGGGAGGGTTTTCCCTTTCAAACCGGAAGCATGTTTAGAGCATTTAAACACAGCGCCCGAAGCAGGAGGATCCTCGTGGACCCTCCTTTTCTGTCAGTACTGTAGACTGTTATTCAAACTACATAGTTTCACATGCAGCATATGAGAGTTCTGGGACAGGTAAACAACAGTTTGGATGTTTGTTAGATTTAATCAGTTTTTCAACCACATCCCACTAAGAGGAGCTTTTTTTTTTTTTAACTAGATTTGAAAGCCAGATTAAACTGACTGCCAAATCTTGCACTAAGGATGGCTGACTTTATTTTTTGCATCACAGCCACACACACAGCCAGGCCAGCTGTGGCACCAGTGCTTTACACACAGCCTCTGATAGAGGACATGGAATCGTCACACTAGATGAATGTTCATTCAGCTTCTATTTATTAGAAAAAACGTTTGAAGACAAAGAACTGTAGCTGAACATTTTGACTAGAAAACAACTAGAATTTTTAAGATTTAAAATGGGGTTTTTGCCCATGAAGTTTACAAAAAAAACTAGTTGAAACACCTTGTAATTTGCGTTGTTTTTCTTTTTTAAACATACCTTCACAAGTCTAAGCAAATAAGTGCAGTTAAGAGTCCTTGTAGACTTTTTGCTCTCGGTTGACTGCCAGCAAAAATTATCCTAAGAAGAGCGCCAACAGTGGAGATAATGGAAATGATTAAAAGAAAGTAATATAACTCAGGATGTGGCCAAACACTTTTGTTGTTTCCAGTCAGGTTTGTGCAAAATTTAGAGCATCAAAAAATAGGAAGCTTATCGAAGGGAAACATGCAAGTCAACCAAAGAAGGCGTCAGGAAAGAAAATCCCAAATTTTCCTTCAGGAAAATGGTCCATATCCTAATCTCAGTTAACTATGTCCTCATAGAAGTCAAGCCCTCAAAAAAAGAAGTTGTAATAAAAAATATTAATGCCTCTTTATTCACAATTCCATTTTTTCCCCTCTATTTCATCCAACGAAATCATCTTATTAAAATATGTTTTACAAAACTAAAACGTTCAGCTATTAACATTTTTCGTGTCCAGTTTGTGTTCTATTCATTTACTCGAATTTTGAGTGAACATCGTCCACATGTGGCGACCCCATCGTTTAGCGCTGGCTTAAGCCTGGAGCTTTAAGTCTGAGCTTCTGATTTTCATGTGACGCTAACATCAACTTCACACATTCATACTTCCACGGTACACATTTAGAAAAGTAGCTGAAAATCGTCCCGATAAAGCAGATCAAACCACCAGATGCCGACACATGTTGCGCTTGGATCAATTGGATTCCAATGTGTGATTATTAATGGCCGAGTTTCGTAACAGTCCGCTCCCAGAACAATGCCACTGTCATGGCTTACACGGTGCTGTGTGCCACAGCCACTTCACAACAGACAGGTCTTCACTTTTTTTCTTTTGATGATGTAAATTAATTTATTCCAAAAGTTAGAGAAAGTAATGGATATCTGAAGGCTCAGGTTCAGTCAAGCATTTCCTGTTTTAAATGACATCCAAGATGCTGTATTACTGCCATTACTGAGGTGTTTCAATGATAAGTCAAGAGTGTTCCCTCCTAAAGAAGCTGTTTTAATGTTGCTTTCTGAAAGCAGGGCTTCTGAGTACATCTGGTTAAAGAGTAACTTTAGCATGCTGACATGAGGTTTGTGTGAGCAAAGCATTGAGAAACACACTGATCGATTTCCAGTCAGGCTGTAGAGAAAAGTCCATTTGCAGACTGATTCTGCCGGTCCAAATCAAGTCTCTGTGGTCACCATCAACAAAAGCCAAACCATCAACCTGTCAGTCTGTCTCTGTGTTGCATTTGTCTAAGTTTCTATTTTAGGAAGCATTCCAGAAACTCTCTGTGGGGGGGGGGGGGTAGGTCAGTCCTTCCAGCAGCAGCACAGTTTTTTAAGATAAAGTGGTGCACAGCAGAATACTGTATACGATGTTTTCATTGTTGGCCTTTGTCATTTCTGTGTCAGCACTGAAGTACCAGCAGGGATTTTGTGGTTCTTAACAGCAAATTATTTCTTTGACTTCATAGATTCATCACAGCATCAACAATTCTACTGAACACGGAGCCAATCAGAGCCACCGCACTGTGACTGTAGTCCCGTCAAAGCCATGTTTTTTATGAATGTTTCATGGAATAAATAATTGTGTAACCTTTCACTTCAAGCTTCATAAAGGGATTTTAAATTAGAGTTCACATTTTCATGTTTATTGATAGCTGTTACCTGTGATATTTGGTTTGTTTCGCTGCACTCTTTGTGTCTTACACTGAAAAAACATGGAAGCAGCTAGAATATTGGAGGAAAATAGTAGAAAAATGGAACTAGTTTAGCTCCTATGTTTCCACGTGCACTTAAAACCATTTAAGTTCATGTGAAGAGATATTTAAATAGTTTATTATCATTATTTTCATAACAAAAGGGTATCATTTGGTCTACCACCATCAGGCACCTCTTTACATTCTTTTCTCGGTGGAAGTGAAAACAGGCTTTAGTTTAGCACGTTTCGCCATGTTATGGTTCACTTTCGAACAGGACAATGAGGTTTTGACACGTCCATTTTTGCGTAGTCCTCTTGAACATGGCCCCACTGAGGCTGTGAGGAGCTGCGTTCACATTTAATCCAGGGTTTCAAACAGTTCACGCTCCATCCTGTGTCATTTCGCACGACCGCTTCAGTCCCGTCCCGCTTTAAAAACAAAGTCTGACGTTTTAACTCACAGTTCAACACGCTGAGGCGCCAGCGGCCTCCTCCGTTGGTCTTCGCGACTCAGTCAGAGCCTTCCTGGTTCTCCAAGATAGGATCTGAGCACAGACAGAAGGAGATGATCAGATTTGTGGTTGTAAAACTCTAAACATTTTGAGTAATGCAGAAAAATGCTGACTAGGCCTGGGTACAAACATAACTCCTCTGCTCAGAGAGTAAAGCAGCCCCATCAGAACACCAGCTGCTCCTTTATGCTATTTGTAGCAGAGATTTTTTTATCTGAAATACCGTTTTCTGGCCACCGGGGGGCAGTGTAAACAATCCCTACCCTGATATCAGGGTTTTTTCCACAACTTCAACTAGTCCAGATTTATAAAGCATCCCATCTTTGTGCTATCAAACAGATGGAATGTATCCAAGCTGTTGTGGGAGTCAGAAAATTCCCAAACACCACGCTCAGAGCAGGTCCTTTTAATAGCAGATTTGTTGTCGGCTGTTTAAACCAACTCTGTTTTCTGAGAAATTGTCAAATGTAAACTGAAGAACAACAGCTGCTAAACAGAATGATAACTGTACCATCACAAAGATCGATATTGTGATATGTCACATGCTATTCATTTGCGTTTGGATTTGCCTCGTTCAGTGATACATTCAATTAATTAGAACAGATGATCAATGCGTTGGTCACAGTCTAAAGATAGCCAGCGTCACATATTTATGGCTGTGTGTTACCCGTGAGAGTGCTGCTGATGTTTGGAGGGGACACAATGAGCACGGTGCTGCCAGATGTTATCCCAGAATGCACCACTGGACCCTCAGCAGATGGGGAGTTCAGACCCTGACACAAATATTCACACAGGTTATTTTGATGTTCAATACTAACTGCTGCTTCAGATGTCAAAACAGAGCTAAAGGCACCAAAAACAAAATATATCAAAAGTAAGCAGAGCAATTGCAGAGATTCTAATCATTCAAATAGAACTGTAGTAAACTAAAGGAGCTCAGTTTTCTTATACCTTATCGGAGAAGCCTTCTTTAATTGGCTCGTGAGGTTCTACCCTCCCTGACCCACTCAGCAGATTTGTGGCATCCAGCCCGTCCTCCTGGTTCTGCTCCTCTGTTTCCACAACCAGCTGCGGTTGGCTGAGCGTGTCTGAGGAGGCGGGGTCAGAGGAAACCGTCTGGATGATGACGCCGTCGCCGGAGCAGAGGCTGTCACTCTGAGGAGGACGACACAAAAACCCATAAAAAAACACCCCCAATCAGGTCTGAACCTCATTTCTGAGGAAAATCCAACTGACCGACAGACTGTGAAGGATGATGTGTTCGTGTGATGAGGGAGAGGAGCCCGTCGTCAGGGTAACCGTGCTGTTATTGGCTAAACTGAGAGGAAGGCTCTGGTTGGACGTCGTCTGGAGGTAGTAGGTCCCGGGGGTGCCGGTGGGCTGTAGGTGGAAGGACTGAAAAGATGACAGGAAATAAAACATAGAATGAGAGCAATGAACAGTGAAACCATTTAAAGTTAGTTTTACACAAATGAAAAAGTCAGGAACCCTCCGAATCTAATCTGTGGTTTTTTGACTACCCCTGAGGGTTGTCTGGAGCGACGGGACGGTCATAACGGGCTCACCGGCAAGATTTCGAAGGTCTGCAGGGCCCCGGTGTTTAGCGTGATGGTGTCACTGTCGCTGGCTGCTGCAGAATCTGAGGCTGGAAGAACAAACAAACACACACACACCGAGCTTTGTGGGTAAGATCGATGATTTCACTCGTGCTTTTGAGTCTTCCTCTGCTGTTTCCAGTGTTTTCAGAGCTTTCCACACAAATGCTGGCTGCGTGCGACACTTTGATTTATTTTACTCGTCACAGGTGAGGTCACACTATCATTTACTAGATTTACTGATATTTAAGCCTTCTCAACCCAATTTGCATACTTGTTATGAAACAAATAAAAAGTACCCACTTAAAGAAATGCATCTAACATTTGAATGGATCTAAGTGAATAAATCACAATGTCCTACCCAGGTGACAAGAATGTACAAAACTGAAAATCTTCAGGTGCATTTAAACTCATTAGAGCTGGAAATATAGTTGAATTCACCACAGTACCTAGGTGTCCAAAGCCAACAACTACCTGGCCAATGAAATGTTGTCTTACAAGACCGCAGTGCGGGTCTCACCCAGGTGTGTGAACTGCAGCGGGATCTGCACGGGGATCTGCAGGGCTGCGACTGAGCTGGGGACGGGGCTGCTGCTGCTCTCGTCCAATCGGGTGAGGCGGATCTGGAGCGAAGAGGAGGAGGTGGGACTCCCTGGTACAGATGATGTCTGTGAGGTCATCATCAGCTCCTCAAGGCCCTTCAGGAGCACTGTCGACACACAGAAAACTAAACTGTCAGTGGTTTGGCTAATATAAACGCTTTTTGGGGATTAATACAGCAACTTGATGTGCTTGTTTAATCTACTGTCACCTTTGCAATTACTCTGTGAGTGTTTTTGTGTCTTTTTCTACCAGTTTAAATATTCTTTGGTGATTTTCAATCTATTTTTGATGCACTCTTTTTTTAAGAGTGTTTTGTTTTCAGTCTAATGGCAACCATTCTGAAATGTTCTGAAAACGGTTTTCAGAGCTGCTTTAGAAAAACAGTCGGCCATTTTAGAACTTGCAGTCGTAGAAATGTGTGAGTTTGTGTGTGTTTGTGTACCGCTGAAGGGGATTTCCTTGTGATTGGCTACTTGTCTCTTGATGCTCCACCACTTGGACCGCAGCCACTGAGGGGACCGGACGCTGCTCCACCCCCATGCCAGGTCCTCCCACTTGATCTCATTCTCATCCTCCACTTTCAGCACTGATATCCTGAAACACACGAGGTTTTACGGGTCGCGTGTTTTGGATGAGGGCTCACTGCACCAGCTCACACTTTTTACCTCCGCAACAGGTTCAGGTCATCCTCTTTAGTCCACTCGGCTCCTCCGCTGTGTTTCCAGTTCAGGTAGTTCAGCCATTTCGACCGACACTGTTTCTCGGAGCGTGTGCGGACCCGGTCTGCCACCGTCGCCCAGGAAACGCCTCCTGTGACCGCGGATCCCGGCGACACTCCGGCCATCTCGTACACGACCTCGGCGAGCCGTCTCTCTTCCTCCTCGCTCCATTTTCCTGGTTGAGAGACATCAGTTTTCTATGAAAAGAACCCCCAGATTTGGAGCCTTGAGGCTGACCGCCACACCCCTCCTCACCCGTGTTACAGGTGTCCTTCATCAGCCGGCAGCGGTCTTTCACAGAAGAGGCACTGCGTCCCAGAGCTGCTCCAATCGTTGCCCAATCGTTCCCGTGTTTCTCCCTCAGCCTGAGAAGACACAAAGACAAGTTACAACATCCTCATATTTCTTTAAAGCCAACAAAGAAGCGCATTCTACTCACGCCTTTAGCTTCTCAATGTCCTCTGGAGTGTACCTTGCAGACAAATGCAAACAATTTACAACTCAGACACAATAATAAACCTGCAGCATGCTCCTGACCATCTCTTTCTTTTGGACTCACTTGCCGACGTGGTTCCGGTTGTCGTACATTCGTAAAACGCGTCTGTAGACGGCGAACAGCGGCCGGTTCAACCCCAACGCCACAGAGCGATAGAAATCCTTCCTCTCCTCTTTGGACATTTCAAAAATGATCTCCGCCGGGTCTTGGATCCCGCGGCCCTGGACACACGTCGAAGATCAGAGCTTAACATCTTCGGTCAGCATTGATGACAGAGGTGGAAAAAGAGAGATGTACCTTCACATATCGGTCAATGTTGCTCATCAGAACGTCAATCTCTTCTTTAGACCACATGCCTTGTTTCCATTTATGACCTGCAAGGAAAAAATGTTGAAGGCCTTCTGCGTCACCCTGAAGCAAACAGGGACGATGTCGATTTAAAAAAAAAAAACTTTAAACTCAGCACATCTGCTCTTTAAACAAACTAACTTCTAAACTATTTGTTTAATAAATTTCATGAGGAAGTTTGATCCACCAAATTCAAGACCTCAAACCAGTCTGAATTTACTTATCAACTGAGTCCAAATCTAACTCATAATAAAACATCAAATCCATCCTAAAAATAGTTAAAAAACCAAGTTTAAACCTACAATTTGAAAACCATGCAAAAGTGTTCTGCTCCAACCAAGTCCAAGTCTTCAAATTAAATTCATCCTTAAATTCTGAATAAATTTTATATAAATAATTGTATGAACAAGTCCAAGTATAGTACGCGACTAGTTAGAAATCATTCCTATAATATTAAAAAAACAGCTCCAGATCCTGTACAAAGCAATCTGAAAACCTAGTTCAAACCAATTCAAACACAAATAAAAGACCCAAAATTATAACTTAAACTACTGTTCACTGTTTCTAAAATAAAGTCTGTAACCTTCAGATACAAGGGGTAAATTCAAAATTCATCCCCCGTTTCTAACTATCCCGACTAAATCTATTAAACCCATTTAAAAAAAAAACACACCAGGTGAAAACCTTCCTAAAGCCCTAAGCCATTATCAAACCAAGTCTAAAAGTACCATCCAGCTGATTTTTAGATGTGCTGAGTGAAGGCTGCGCCTTTGTGTGTGCACCTTTGTTAGCCAGCGTATCTTTGTCCTCTTTTGTTGTAAACCAGGCCTGGCTGACCGGTGACACCTCCGTCTTCTCATTGGCTGACAGAGTGTCTTCTTCTTGATGCAGAATCTGCTCGGAAAAGACAACATTCAGACCATTTTTAAAGAATGTACAGCCAGTTATCAGTAAAGGAAAGTAAACAAAAAAGTCCTCTTATTACCACAAGACCATGTTTTAGAAGCCGAGAACCAGCAATTGTTTTGGGTTTTCTAAAAACCAAGATCAGCACAAGGTGAAAGAGCAGGATGTACCTCTATTTGAGTGACTCCGTCCTCAGAGAGATCGCTGTCGGCTGTGCCAGTCATCGTCACCTTGAAGCTCTCATTCTCCAACACTGAAGATGTCAAAGAGACAGAAAAAAAACTTTATTCAGAAACTATTGAGTCTCTTTCGTTTTCATACCACAAAGTACCTATTGTTGTTCAATTCTGACCATTGTTGTGTGTTTTTTAGTGTCTGATGAAAATCAGTCATGGCTTCAAACAGTTTAGAAGTCAGCATTTGTTCCATTCAGGTGTCCAATAGTTTTTCAGAATCATCAGCTACTGTAAACAAACGGTGAGCTAAATGAGGGATAGAAATACAAAACGTCTCACTGGGCAAAGTGACGACAGAAAACTGAGGTTTCTCAGAGTCCGCCTGTTCCTCAGTGGAGAGTCTCAGCTTCTTCTGTAGGGGCTCCGAGTCCTCATCTACACAAAAACATACACGTATTTGTAAGAAACCTCCCTCACATTATGCGCGTGCAACATAAATCTGTTCTACATGTCACACTAATCCAGACACAGACCAAGAAAAATATTTTTAGATTTAAACCTGAAAGATATTTTGGCTTCTTGGCAAAAACACAGAGGATTCAATGATTTCTTTGTAAAGAATGTTTGTTTTTTTAAAAGTCCTCCAATATTCACAGCCTGAAACTAGATGGCATCTTTGATGAAATCTGAACTAAAACTTTTTTTTTTTTAGAACTAAATTAAATACAGGTCTGGGAAGCTGTATAACAGCTTTTTTTTCAGTGTCCTGAAAAAAAGACTTGAAACTTTTTTTTTTTTTTGGAAAAGGGCTTAGTAAACTCATCACCCAGTTTTTTTATTTGTTAAGGGTAACATCTGAATTGTTTGGGGATTGTATATGGAGACAAATAAAAGCCATAGAGTCTATTTGTGAGCGTGCTGACCCACCGCTGGGAGGACAGTGCAGAATAATGCTTCCATCGCTGTCCTGAGTGAGGGTGACAGATTTGACGGTTTCTAATTGAGCAGCATCTTCGTCTTCTGCTGCTGAACTCATCCTTCACCTGCAGAGGAAAACCGCACATGGAACGGGGGCTCATTCAAAGGGCCGTGACGGGTGACAAACCCCACCATGGGATGCATGTTCACTTCTGAACACGGAGGGTGTCATCTGAAATATTGTGTTGTTTTATTTTGAAATCAAATGCACATCCAGCTAAGCATTTGGTCTATCAAAAAAGGATAATAAACAATAATCCTTTCAATGAATAATTTTGGGGTTTGAAATAATAATGGCAACAAAGTGTGTGCATCAGTGGCGCCATGATGATATTCTTGTCTTCACCTTTGTGTTCTCCATCTGTGCTGACTTGAACCCTGTTCACCCATCTTGTGATTTGCTCATCTGAAATCTCCTGTAATTTTAAAGTAGCCTAATGTTTCAGTAGCAATATGCAATGAATTTCACATATTAGGTCTTTATTTAACATACTCATTTAACCCAAATATAAGCATCTGAAACTGCTCACTACCGCCCTCTATCGTTTTGGTTTCCAAAGTAATAAATGTGTTGTTTGACGTCGTTTATTAAAAAATTGGCCGATGAATGCTGGACAATATTAATGCCGAAATTAACCTTGTGTCACTACAAAAAAAGGTGAACTTCCAATTTAAACAGTACATGCAGATATTTGTCAGTAACCAGAAACAACTTTTAAATCTAACTACTTTTCGTTGCTATTTTTTGGTTGATGCAGTCCTGTGTATCGCTGTGTGCAAGCGAGCTAGAATAATTGAGTTTCGGTTAAATATTTTTGTATTGTTACATTATCTGAATAGAGACTAAATAGACCCGTTCAGATATCCTATGTACAGAAAGAAAAACGCAATATTACGGGGTCACTGCAGCTTTGGCCCAAAGCTAACTATTTGAACTCGGTATTCTGAAGAGCTCTATGAAAGACGAAAAATCTCCGGCGCCATGTTAGTAGACAAGGTGAAGCTTATCGCGTCTGTGTGGTTTGACGGCATTTGGGGGGGTTTATTAACAGCTTGAATATCCATTTTTTGGCTCAGAGCTACACCTGCGCCTCCCAGCAGCTCCGGTCACCGAACAGAAAGTGAATTTAGTTTTGATTTGACTACTTACTTCCTGTTTTCGGTCCGGGGACTTTTGAGTTACCAGGATGAAGGAAAGTGCCAGGATGGAGAAGCGGCGTACGAAGGCCGGTGGGTTGCCAGGTGTAATGATTTCCAGTAAATGTATTCCAGATATGTATTGTCCGTTCATGTTTCCGCTCGTTTTTACAAACTAAGTCAACTTCATGACGTGATTTTAATTTTTAATTTAATCACACTCTCTTTGGTGTTAAAATGAACAAGAGCAGTTATATATGTTCTCTTTGTTGTTAGAAAACTATTCCAAATATTTTTTAGAACTAAAGCGTGCTATACAAATTCAAATATATTCAAACTAAATTTGTAAACAACTCATGCTGCTATGTTTCTTTTAAATCTTAAACTATTTTCTCACGTAAACAAAACAAACCTGGCAACCAGTAGACCTACTTAAAATGTGTCCGGCTGTCCATTTCCATTTTTCATCCATTCATTAACTTAACATTTGATTTTGTCTGTACAAAAATCCTAAATGAAGATGAAAATAATTGGACATTTATCTTCTCCATTAAATCTTTTTCTTCCAGGGAAACTCAAAGTAAACTTGCTGAGAAGAAATTGTTCCCACGTTGTTGAATACGGACGACATTCGAAGCTGCACATATCCAAGCCACCACTGTTTGGAGCAAAAACGTAACCGAAATATGGGGGAACAACCAGTCAGAGTGTGAGTTTTCTTTTAGAAATTCCTGATCTATTGATTTAATAAGCTTTTATCTTGTAAAATATCACCGCGGGTAAACTGCCGATCATTTTATTGAATTATATTTGGATTTTAAATAAACTGTAACGTTGACGGGAACTGTGTCCAGTTAGTTCATTTCTGTCGTCTTTAAATGAAAATTCTGTACTTTTTTAAAGGAGAAAACCAAGTCCGTATATGTAGCTTTAATTACTTATCAGGGATTTGGTGTTTATTAAAGGGCATACAATGTATTAAAGTTGTGCGTTTGCAGCTTGGCGTGCGGGGATGTGGAGGGCAGACTGAACGTCCTGTTCAGTCGAGTCCAGGCCATCCAGAAGAAAACCGGACAGTTCGATGTGAGTGTAAATCTTTTGGATAGATAGAGTTAGATGGCTCTCGTCGTTATTTACCTGTGGGTGTGTTCCTGCAGCTGCTGCTGTGTGTTGGAGAGTTTTTTGGATCAACACCTGAGGCCGAGGCAGAGTGGCAGCAGTACAAGTCAGGAGCAAAGAAAGGTGAGTGGGTGCACCTACTTATCAGTCAGAGAGAATGCTCCTTTTCTAACCGCTTTACATGTTTACCTCTCCAGCTCCGATTCACACCTACATCCTGGGGGCAGCGAGCCAGGAGACGGTAAAGAACTTCCCTAATGCAGATGGATGTGAGCTGGCAGAAAACATCACATATCTGGGTACGACAGCATCCTGGTTCTCTTAATCTGCCTCTACACTTCCCTGATGTGTGGGCAGTTGCAGAAGCATGTGTATGACCCTCGGTGACAGAGACAGTTGCTGTAAAATGACCTCAGAGATGTAGTAGTAGGTCTGTTTTCCCACATGTGAAGGCATCATCTTTAAAGAAAATAAAAATAATCTGCAATATTAACAGCACCATCACATTAGGACGGGAATATGACCTCTTTCAGAGCATTCCGCCATATGATGGGCTCTAACCGTCCAATCAGGAGGCTGCCGTCAATCTGTGCATCGATCTGTGCGTTTCAGGGCGACGGGGGATTTTTTCTGGTGCGTCTGGGCTGCAGATTGCATACGTCAGCGGTCGGGAAGCTCTGCAAGAGCCGGCTCCGGCTCACTGCTTCAGCTCCAAAGATCTGTCCGCCCTCGTGACGCCGCTGACCAGCAACTCCAAATTCAAAGGGGTGGACATCCTGCTGACGTCCCAGTGGCCCAGAGGAGTGTGGACCTACGGAAACGTCCCGGTAACGCGTTTCATTCGAGTCCACCGGCAAATGTAAAACCTCATGGACAAAGGCTACGTGGTAAATCAAATAATGAATGGGTTTTCTCGCGTCTCTGGGACAGGAAGTGAACACAAAGTCATGTGGCAGCGGCTCGGTCGCCAGCCTCACCAACAGACTGAAACCTCGGTACCACTTTGCTGCACTAGAGGGCGCTCACTACGAGAGACTCCCATACAGGTAGAGAAGCTGTGGCAGCCCCACCCACAGCTCATGGAAAGACATACCCACCCCCCCCCTCATGATGCCATCTCTGTCCACAGGAACCACATAGTACTCCAAGAAAACGCTCAGCACGTCAGCCGCTTCATCGCCCTGGCAGCTGTCAACAACCCCTCCAAGAAGAAGGTCAGTGAGCGGTCACCGTTGGATTTAGAGCCTTTACAGCCAAACCTTTTATTTTTAAAACTAAAACAAAAAATCTAAGTATATCCCTGTGGTTTGAGTGGCTGATCGGGAAATCCGAATACATTTTTAGTATTCTGTGGGTCTTAAACTTTATGGAGGTCAGTTCACTTTTCTGATGCCGGTTGTAAGTCAGCTTTTGTAAAAAAATAAAATAAAAGAATAAAAATAATACATTTTCACTAGTGATGGTGAGATGAAGCCTCATAAAGCACTGAAGCGTTCCATCCAATGTGTCGAAGCTTCAAGATGCTTCATTTGCTCTATTAGAATTTAGAAAAAAAACTGGATTTTCTGTCTGCAGTATCTGTACGCCTTCAACATCGTCCCCATGAAGACCATGGATCCGGCCGAGCTGGTAAAGCAGCCGCAGGACGTCACCGAAAACCCCTACAGGCGATCAGCAAAAGACAAGACACCAGTCCAACAGACGGACTTCGGCAGCACAGAGGAGGTGAGCAGAAGCCGCCCGTTCCACCGATCTGCTCCACTGGAAACTCATCACATGTGAACAGCACTTATCGTAAAAGAACAAGTTCCAAATATTGCCCGTTATGTCTCAAAAAGCATTCAATTTGAAGAAATGTGGATTGGTCATAATGCCACAGTTTAGTCTACTGCAAGTAAAGCATCAAAACATGAAACAGAACTTCTTTTTGAATAACGTGACCGTTTGCAGAAGTTTTTTTAAATGCAACAAAGGCACAAAAAGTCGTATTTGACCTCGTGCTTATGCACACTGCTTCGATCTGATTTCTTGTTTTTTTTGTCCAGGAGCCGGCCCGCCAGTTCTTTTTCGACCTGGGCAAAGAGAAGGACGGAGGCTTTGGCGGGCGTGGCAGAAAGAGGCCGTCGGACTGGGAGGGACGGGGTGGGGGCCAGCGGCAGGGGGGGGACCAGCGTTTTCAGGGCCAGGAAAAGCAGCCCCGCCGCCACCGTGAGTCCCGCTGGTCCTCAAACGCAACATCAACGAAACCCTGAAACCACAAATGACAGAGTTGTTGCTTCTTTTTTTTTTTTTTCTTCCCTCTCATGTGCAGCACAGCCCACGGGTCCCTGCTGGTTCTGCCTGGCCAGTCCTCAGGTGGAGAAACACCTCGTCATCAGTATAGGAACACATGTAAGGCCAGACTTTATCAGACTGAAGTCTGATTTCTGTTTAAATTAGAGCATGACGCGTTTCCTGTAATCAGGGACTTCATAGCAGCCGGTTTTTGTAGTGTTTTACTAAGGTAGAGTAAAATCTAACAGGATATGGGTGTTTCTGTTCATTAGTCAGCTCTGTCTGGATGTTCTGAGGACATCCAGGGCCTCTAAACTTTCAAAATTCTCCCTCGGATTACCTTTCCTTGATCATAGTGGCGTGATAAATGATTCTGTTACAGAATGAACATCAAAGCCAGCGGCCTCTCCCGGAGTATCAGCTGAAAGCACATGTGGAGCAAACGAGATGATGTTTCTGAGACTCATGACATCACATGGGGGGGGGGTGTGTGTGTGTTGGCAGTGTTACGTGGCTCTGGCTAAAGGCGCCCTGACCGCTCGCCACGTGCTGATCCTGCCCATCGGCCACTACCAGAGCGTGGTGGAGCTGAGCTCGGAGGTGGTGGAGGAGATGGAGAAGTACAAATCAGCCCTGAGGAGCTTCTACAAGAGCAAAGGGGAGCGCTGCATTGTCTTTGAGAGGAACTACAGAAGCCAGCACCTACAGCTGCAGGTCAGACTGGGACCGGTTTCACTTCACTGACCGCCTAAGTTTGCGACTAGAGCAAATATAGTTTCTAGTTCCTGTGTAGATTGGATTATCTATTTGATTACTTTCTTACCTGCCATCAGAGGCATTTATCTACAATCAGGCTGACTAAAACAATGACTAGCTGTGGATAAAACAGGAAAAAACATTGGTATATTCATTCTGTTAAGGGCACAGCTAAGCCACATTTTAAAGTTTTATATATTTTTATATATATATATATATATATATGATATTCTCATTTTATAAAAATAAAATGAGCATATTAAGCGGTTCCTTATTATTATTATTGCAAATAGTAAATAGACTTGTGGCTTTTTTACCCATAATCATAGATTAGTGTGCAGTGTGTATTCTGTGAAACTCTTTTCAAACAAATGACTATATTTGTTATAAAAAATTCAAGTAAAAACAAAATTGGCTTGTGGATTATCAACAACACCCTTTTATACACTAAAAACATGTTTTAAAGTTAGTTGTTTCAATTTTATGTACAGGATCTCATTGAATTTTTACACTGTTCTGGAACTTGATGCAATTAAGGAAAAAAAGCTAAATTACTTATTGCAGGTCCAGCTCTATGCATCATTATAATTTTTCATCTTCCACTAATCACTCACTTGGTCTCGCTGTTGGTCTAGGTCGTCCCCGTCCCGCTGGACCGCTGCACCACTGAAGACATCAAGGAGGCGTTCACGGTTCAGGCCCAGGAGCAGAACATGGAGCTGATGGAGATTCCTCAGCACACTGACCTCAAACAGGTAAACACACCAGAACACACGCACACAAAAAAAACTAAACCATACCAACTCCTCACTCACTCATTCCTGTAAAATGTGTGTTCTCAGATTGCTCCTCCAGGGACTCCGTACTTCTATGTAGAACTGGACAACGGGGAGAAACTCTTCTACCGGATCCAGAAACATTTCCCTCTGCAGTTTGGACGGTGAGCTGCAGTTTTTCTTTGAATTTAAGCCATAAGCAGCTGAAGTAGTAACTCTGACCCCTTTCAGACCCAGTGACAGAGGGTCTGACCACATTATTGTAAGAAAGTGTTCTGTAATGAGCTCAGATTCTTATTGATAATCGTTTGGACACAGGGAGGTGCTGGCCAGCGAGGCAGTGCTAAACATCCCGACTCGAGCTGACTGGAAGGAGTGTAAGATGAGCAGGGAGGAAGAGGAGGAGAGCTGCAAACAGCTAAGAGGCGACTTCCAGCCCTACGACTTCGCCTGGGAGGAGGACTAACACACGCACACACACACACACACGGGTTCAAATATCTGTCTGAGGCATGGAAAGGAAGCCATGCGTTGTTACGTTTTATCTGATCTCCAAAGTGAAGTCTGAAGTGTCAGACAATTTGCTTTGGTTTTCAGATGACTTCTCAATTTTCAAACGGATAAAATGACAGTTGAGTTTGTGCAGCTACAGACGGTCACTTTCATCCCCATAAAAAGCAGCTCATCAGCTTTTTGGTTTAAGACAGAACCTGGAATTTATTTTTTAAATGCATTTCCTGTCTTTTGTAAATGAATCTCAATTAAACTCTTATTTTGATTTGTGGGTTCTTCTGTTATGCCAGCTATATGCACCTCTAATAATTTTACTTAAGTACAATAAACATTGTTTATTAGGAAATTAGGGTCTGGCTAGTTTACCCTTAAGAAAAAAAGAAATTTCAGTCCAAATTTCAAGAGTTGTTGCTAAAAAAATAAACTTCCAGCACACAATTGGAGTAATACCTTGTTGAAGTTCTACTCCTTTTAAGCACAAAATCACATCAACACATCTGAATAACACATTTCCACAGAGAAAGGGAAAAAAACTGCCTTTTGTAAACTATCTTGTTTACAAAAGGCAGTTTTTTTTGTAGTTTCTCAAGCACATATTACAAAGTTACTTTTAAAAAGTCATTAGGTAGTTTTTTTTTAATGCTAGAAGATTATTTCATAAACTTAAAACATGAGTAACAACAAAAGCACATACTGTAAATTACTCAAATGCAACTAAAGAAATCTTGGAAAATGCGAGTTAAAACAGTTAATTTGTAGTGCAAAACACTTAATATCTGGATTGTTAAGAACTATTTTCTTTCCATTTGATTTAGTACTCTACAGGTTTGTAGAGTTCCAAACAAGCCGCAACCTATACAGAAAAGCCATGGAATTGTAGTTTTCGAACAATAAAGAAATGTAAATGTTTTTCAAAACAGGCTCAAGTTAAAAATAATTTCCAAACCTTTTAACAGTTCTGAGTAAATCTAAACATTTCTTAGCATCCGAAATAAGGTTTATACATTTAATATTCTTGTCTGGCTTCTACCTTCATTTGACTATAGTTTAATTTGGAAAATACATTTTTTGAAAAATAAGCTTATTTTAAATATCCAGATTCGTTATGGCTTTAAAAACACAATTTACGCCATCTCATTCTTCACTGATGCGGGGCATATCAAAGCAACCAAAACAAAGAAAACTTTAAACAAAAAGGTTCAGTTAACACAAATCCATGTTTATTAATTCATTTATTTGGTATCTGAAAGACATTTGAACTGCATTCATCAATATATTTGCATAAAACTCTGCAGTTCTGCTTTATAAAAATCAAAGCTTCTAACATGCATCAAAATAAAACATTCAATTAGCTGCAAATAAATTGTTACACTACAGCTCACAAACGAAGTGCATTTTATGTTACCAGAACTGAAGTGAACCTCACTACATGTCAAGATTTAAAAAAAAAAAAAAAAGAGAGAAAGAAAAAGGAAAACCATAGGAACTTCCACTAGAAGGCAGCAGAGTCCTCAATGTTCCCTTTATTCTTATTTTCTAGCTCGGATTTGACTCTTCATACGAAATAAAACAGAAAAAACATCCTTTTGTTCATGTTAGTCCAAGCAGAAATATAATCTCCGCAGACTTTACAGAGAGAAAATGTTAAAGGCTCCATACGCTCACAAAGCAACATTGGCCATCCTGTATGGATTCAAGCACTGAGGCACAACGGTCATTACTGTTAAACGGTTTAAACTCTGAAGAAGCAGGTGGTACAAATGACGGCAGGTCAATTGAAGATGGAGGGGTTTTTTTATTTTTACACCCGTTTACACAAAGTCCCTGGACTTCTTGATGGCGCAGCAGAGCATCATGCTGAAGATCATCCCAAAGATCTACAGAGAGACCAGTCAGCAAGAACAGCCAGTCAGTCAGGCATCAACTTGTTTTATGAAGCGGACCATTTCCAAATATCATGCAACTATTCAGTAAATCTGGCTTTATTCATTTAGGATTCATTCTGGAGAGTCAATTACAGTATATGGTTGTAACCACACTATATCAATGTTTAGCAAATAGCAAGGAGAAAAACAAACTGCTAGATTTGCGAACTGGACTGTTTTACATAAAAAATAAATAAATAAAAAGGGGGTTGGGTTTAAATGATGGCATTACATAAAATTCAGTTAAGTTGACATGCAAATAACTTGCTTTTTTCTTAAATTTGACCTTTAGTACATTACAGAGTCCTTTTATCTCACGTCAAAATACAGAAGTTTACATACTCTTGTACTTAAAGATGGCATGCACTTTTTTTGTTGTTGCAATCACTGATGTTAAATAGTACAAAAGAAAATGCCCATGTTTTGCTCTTTGGCCTTCTCTAAAACTGAGATGCAATGTCCTTGGCATTGAAATAAATCTCTGTTTGAGCCCAGCAAATATACAGCAATTAATATCAATTTGTTGTCATGTTGATGGGGCCAAAAATACCCTTAAAATCCTGTAAATAAATTGCATGGATTCCGACCTCTCAGTCCGCTGACTGAGCCTCTCATACATGGCATAACACAAGTTCTAACAAAACACTGATGTTTTGTTCTAAACAAGAGTGAAGACTAAAAAGAAATGGCCCCTCATTCGTGTATACTAAGCAACTCCAAGTTTCTATGTGAGCAGATTCTAAATTCAGACTTACCATGATGACTCCAATGCCGATTCCAACTCCACCAATTATGTGCAGCCGGTTGTTGAAAACCGTGTCAATGGCGGACGGACAACTCTGCCAGATTAAAAAGAAAACACAAAATAATCATATACAATGGACAGAAAATAAAACTTATGAACCATTCGGACCTTTTATGTAGCCTCATTAAGCTGGGATGGGTTCCAGCCCCTCCCGACCCCAGTGGGAATAAACAAAGAAAATGGATGGATGTAGCCAGATTATGTTATTTTTGTGCTTTTAACAAATATGTATGGTGTTAATGTGTCAAAAAACCGTAGCCACTTAATCCATTTAGAAAAACCAGCATGTGAAAGAACCATAGTTTTTTGGTAATTTATTGAAGCAGAAGGGGGCAGCGTACTGCCAATGTTTTTCCAAATTCAGAGGTGGCATTTACAGGAGTTAAATGGCTTTCCTTTACCAATAAATGCAAGAAATAAACTCAGGTATTTTTTCAAGTGTAGTTGGTGTATTGTTCAGGAAAATCTAAGTTTAAGATCAGAGTAGTAACATTTTGCAGAGACCCTTAATGGATGATTCTCGTATGCAATTTTGGAAATTTGTTAAACTTAAAAAAAAAAAAAGCTTAAGTTGTTAGCTTTCTTCATTTCAGATTTCGCAACGATGTGAAAGCGCTGTAGGTCTCTGTGCTCCTTTACCGTGGTGACGAAGACCTCCAGCCCCTCCTTTTTGGGACAGATCTCATCGGCGCCGTCGATCACCGTCCCTGTGGGACCACAGCAGTCCAGCTGCAGAGAGCAAAAGCCAGATCAGGGGGTGTGGAGCAATCCATACGTCTCTGTATGGCTCATTGACCACTAAAAAAATAACTGTTTGAAGGTCTTACCCCAAAATGGATGAGGCGGAGTGTCTCTTTCAGCGCTTCCTGTTTGGTGTCCCTGTAGTTGGCGTAAGTCTGCTTGTAAAACTCGGTTACGTCTTCCACCACCCTGTCCTTATTGGAGAGTCCCCAGATCCCAGCGGCCACCTCCACAGCGAAGATGAGGAGCAGGAAGAGGAAGAACTAAAGCAGAAAAAGATCATTCATTCTTCTGCTGTATGCGAGGTTGGTGTCACTGTGCACTCAGCTTTCTACTCGTGACCAAAGCGACTTAAAAAAAAGGAAAAAAAGATAAATATCGCCTCCTGTTAAAATTTTAACATTGGATTGTTCTCCTAGAGGTTTGACTTCTGAGGCCAATCGTCATCTCTCTAAGATGAAGAAGAAGAAAGCTGCTGCTGTTTTTAAGCTCCACTTTGATGCGACTGGTGAATAAAGAATGACTCACCAGGCCCAGCATGCACGGTGACTCTTTGATGGCTCCACAGCATCCCAAGAAGCCCACGACCATCATTAGGCCTCCTGCTGCTATCAGGATGTACACCCCTGCAACACAATCAACACACGAGCAATTCCAACATTTAGATGACTTTTGCTCTCCTCCATAAAAATATGCATTTAAAATCAAAGGTCTCTGCTCTCATGGTGATCTCTGCGTGCAGCGTTCCTCTGTCACAAACCATGCCATGGTAATCAGACTTGTGGCAAAGGGGTTAGATCCCGGTTTGTTTTGTGAACCGAGTTCTGGGGACTAATGAAATCCAGCACAAATGTGATTCAGCGGACTCTGGGAGGAATTCCCCGGGGCGGTGTCGCTGCCATTTACAGTCTCCCAAACCCTCGGCCTTAAAGGACGCACATTTACACAGGCCGTTTGTTTATTCTACCAGAGCTGATTTGCCCACAAAGTCCTGTTGAAGTCACACTTCTTACTGGTGAGGAATCGTTCAGATAAACAAATGCCATCATCCCGTGGTGAGCCTTAACCAAGTTCTGACGATTTGATGTTTTCGTCCGGGTGACTCATTATCCAAAGTACAAAGAAAGTTGAACAATAAAAACTACACAGCTGAGTCACCAGCACGTCAACCACAAAAAATATTCCTCCTCCAAGTGCCGCTTTTCTCCAGAGCTGTTATTAAGATGTTTGTCATTTCCAACAGTCCTTTGTCGCCTTGCTGCCCACTTCACTCGTCAGTTTGATGGAGGCAAAACACAAAGACAAATAGGGTGGGGGGGGGAAGGAGTCTTTTTGGTGATGGTTTCTCTGAGAACTCACAAGTTGGCCAACAAAGAAGTGTCTGTGCAGCGAGTGAGAAGGACAACTGTGTGCAGAGCGCGGTGAACTGGGGCTGGCCTCAGCTTCCCCCTGCATGCCCAGCTTCTCCAGGCAGCCAAAAAAATACACAGACACAATGAGCGGGACCTTGAGCTACAGCTGTGCAGACAAGGAAGAAAGATCACCAGAAAAGTCTGAGCTCTGTTAGTCACTTTGACTCCACAACAACCGAATTGGACTTTGTTAATCAATGTACAGCAAACGGAAGTTCTCAGGCGAGTTAAAAGGAAACATGAGGTCAATAATCAGCCCGATGAATAAAAAGCAGCCCCACTGAGGAAATCCAAACGTTTTTCATGAACTTGCATAGAGAAAAAAAAACAGACAGAGGCACAAACCTGGCAACCCGTCCTCAGGAACACCAAGTGGAAAGAATTTGCAACCGCAAATCAAGTGTCACCTCCATGCATTAGCTTTGAAAGCACATTTTTGATGTCGTACAGATCCAAAACGGTCAGTACCAAATGTCGGGGGAACTGGCTGATCTTGTGCACAGCTGCCCGACACCATGGAACTCAGCCTAAACTAAATTTGTGGCCTGCACAGCAAATTCATCAGTGTTAAAATGCTGGTGTTAGGCATTTTCAGAGTGAAGTGTTGATGTATTGCTGTTGATTTTGGTAGTATCAACTCTAATGATTAGAGTTTTGGTGTCAAATCACGGAGTTGACGGTATTTAACACCAACGAGTGACACTTTGAACATCCGGGTACTTCGACAGGTATCCTCCGTGAAGAAATTTGTCAGCAGCCATTTTCTCACACTCACATGGAGCATGAGAAGGAGAGACTGGTGAGTAAAATTTCACAAATTAGTCATCGTGCCATTGCTACTTTTATTAAAATGTGTTTACGCTAACTCACTGTTTCTAAATTTGGGTACAGATTAAAAATTCGCCGTTTTTTGCTAACTTTAAGCAGTTCTGTTGCATGTCCTTTCACCGGAACATTAATATCAACAGCACAGCTGCCTGAATTAAGTGTTGTGTGTCACAAACGTAACCGGCGAAGCCTTACCAGTGAAGAAGACCGTGGGGGAGTCCTCTCCTTCAAACAGTCCTTTGGTCCTGGAGTCAAAACGCAGCCAGAGTCCCACGGCCAGCACTGCCGTACCCGCCAGCTGCAACCGGACAAAACCACTTTATGTGACAGGTTTTCCATGTGTAAAAAGGAAGGAAACAAACTCATTTTGCTATAAACTCTGGGCAGACGACAAATATCGAACAGAGAGGAAAAGAATGATACTGCAGCCCGTAGTCTCCATTAAAGTCAGTGGTTCTCTAGAAGAGACCAAATCAATGCGACTAACAGCCCTGTGAGGGACTCAGTTGTTTTAAGAGATCTGTTCAATCTAAAATCAGGGTTCAGCCGCATCACTCATGAGATGAAAAAAGCAGCTCCGAGTAACGGAAAAACATAAAACACTGCGAGGTGTCTGAAGTCACCCATCATCTTAGAACATGGCTGCAGGAAAGATGAGGGTAAATCAAACGTATGAATATGGAGGATGCGCAACACCAACAAGCTCAGAAATCAATATTTGTATAACACAGCTTAAATCCCGACAGTTCTTTTGTCCTCCACTTATCCAGTTTCAAATTTTTAAGTTAGTTTTATTCTAAGGACAGAATGCACACTATGCTTAAATATGCCAAGTTTCCAGCTAATAGCTCTTTGTGAATCAGCTTGTTGCTGCAAATATCCTGTTTTCTGTCAGTCAAACTGTCATTTTTCGCACATCAGCTAAAGAAATGGAAACAAATAATGCATCTTTGCCACAGGCTGCTATTAACAAAATAACTAAAGATCCTAATTTAAATTGTTATGTTGCCAAGCGTTATGTGGTGACATGTTATATAGCAACACTGATTCATCCCTCGAGTTCTTTTCTTCTTTCTGTTTGAATGATTCATAGGTCTGAGTTAAGTGCCTTAACTAAAAAATAAAAACCTTATTCGTTCAAGCTTTAAGCCCTCAAAAAGCCTTATTGTTTGGAAGTAAAGACATTAAAATGGATCAGTATTTTATCACATCAATGTAACAACAACAAGTCCAGATAGAACGTTTTAAATTAAGTGATTTCTAAAGCAGTTAATTCAACAGCTACTGAGCAACAAAAGTCTGGACAAAAACAGGGATGAAAGAATTACGGTGCGATAAGAAAATCTCCTTAAAAAGCAGACAAACAGGAACAGTGCAGAAAAAAATCGAGATCCATGTGCTAAATGATGAATCATTCTATGTGTTGAACCATCACAACTCGAGAAAAAGTGAGTCCTTTGATGGAAAACAATCTGGAGAAACCATAATTCTTTCATAATAACAAAATCACTAGATGTCCCAATCTCCAGGGCAACCGCACAACACAGCTGACGTCAGCGCTTTTTCTCAGCTACATCATTTCCATAATGTCCAGCAGCGTGAGCCTCACGCCCGTGTTGTGTACAGGCAGCGAGTGTGACACACAGAGCTGTGCCCCAACAAGTCTGGAGGATTCTTCCTGCTTCCCTACCAAGACTGGAAAAATGCACACCATGGGAAACTCCCTGAGGCCGAGTTAATAAACAGTTTCTGTAACATTTCTGGGACATGCGTGGAAAATAATGAAATGGCTCATTTAAGACATTTTAAAAGATTCAACAGATGATCGGCTTTTAAGAATGTGGTAATTATACATTTAGTTTTAAGGATAATTCACGTAACTGAATCATTTGAAGTGTCAATAAATCATGAATCTGTCCAAATTGAGAGCTACACATTTGCTGGAGTGTCAAACATTTCATAACTGCCGAAATATGCGAAGCATGCTTTATGAAAAATGGAGTAAAACAAAAGGTAAGACATTTTTTAAGCCTATAAACCAGTCACTCCTGGTGCCGTCAGGGCAAAAATGCGGAGGCTGCTCTGCATGTCTGAGCATCGTCCCACCAGAGTCTTCTCCAGACGTGATGGCGGCTGACTCACGCACCTCATTTTAAAATCCTCAACTTTTCAGATGCAACTCTTTTAGCTGATGAGGCATTTAAGACATTTCAACAGCACATAGGATAATAATCCGAGCAATCTGTACAGATCACCCCAGAAATGAGAAACCTAAAGAACATAAGATGAGATTTTGTCTGATCAGATTTAGACGGAAAGTCTCCTCCTGCAGATCCATCTGGATAACAGATCCTGGTGTTATGAGTTAAGCGCAGTTAAAGACATGAAGATAAAGGAGAAGATACAGCCGTGCACACAAGAGGCAGAGTGAATGCAAACCGCAAAGATATCCCACAGAAAGGGTTTATGCTGGTCAACAGCGATAAACATCCATTCCAGTCGGGCCCGATTTCCATTCAAAACTGTGTTTTGGGACACGGACACCGTCATGAAAATAAGATACAAAACTTAGGTTGTTCATCTGCATTCCTTTTTATCTGCTCAGCTCATCAGCTGACCGCGGGCATAAACACCATCACTCTGCCAGTTTCACTGCTGTCAGTTTAAAAACAGTTCCTGCTTTAGACAGCTTAGGACGTGCTTCTCTGTGCTATAACAAACCCGTCCATTAGAGTAGGCCTCGCTCAAGTGAGACACACCAACCAACAAACCCCATCTCAGCTGATCAACTCAACCCACACATTTGTTCCTGTCGTAGGAGGAGAATCTGACATTCCATCTCAACACTGATAACTCTTTTGTATTTTTTTTCTTACAGGATTTTTTTTTTTTTTACTTCAGTCCCTTAGGATCCTAGAAATTTAAAATCCAACCGGGTCTGTTCGGTAATCAGTAATATTGATGTCGGTTATGTGCTGCGATATCTTTCTTTTGGATATAATCTGTATAAAACATGCCAAAAACTCCTTTTAGCTAAGTTAGCTCTGGCACCATTTTAGCAAGGCTAGCCAATGCCATTTAAACAGACAGGAACACAAGCCAATAAACTTAAAAGATTTGTCCCAATCCACAAAAAACAATCTTGTCACATAAAAAAACAAAACAAATAAATACACAAATATCTTATAAAAGGTTCAGATTAGATGTCCAAAATCTTAAACTCTCAACTCAACCTCCTCTGTTACAGATTATGGTTAAAGAGAACCACTTTGGTGAAGCTGAAATGACTAAATTCAACACACCTCACAATATCAATACTTGTGGTTCCTTCTGCCTGTCAGGTCAAATTTCATCCAGTCTAGCCTGCCTGAAATTAATTTACACCTCAGTCTAAAGTGCAGCGTTATTCCACTGGTGAATTGGATGCAGCGAAATTCATTCCACCACAAAAATCCCATTGACCATAGTTTGAGCTGCCGTTTCCTAGATGTCAAAATGATATCTCTTATTATGTAAAATGATGAAATCAGCATTTCTTTACAAAATGACCATTTGTTTGAGTAACACTACAGTTCTCCATGATCTGCAACATGTTTCACATCGCTATGCCTCATTACTCGGTGTGCGTCACGGTAAAGTTAAATGAGCAGGAGGCTTTAGCGTGCCACTTCTGTGGAAATGACTCCCCACCACACCTACACCCTGTCAGCACCATGTTATTGAACCATGATTTAATGGAGACACGTCTGAAAACATCCCCAAACAAAACATGCTGTTTGGTTAGGTTAGGACTGAATTGTTCCGCTCTGAAGAGATTACAATCACAAATATGTTTGGCATGACATCATGAAGCAATAACCAGGTTTGTTCGGTTACCAACCAAATGTTTGTGTTAGAAAATGTTTGTCATTGGTTTCCATGACTATTAATGAAATGCAGAAAGAAAAACCTGTTTGCCGGTTCACACTTCTCTGAACGACTTCATTTAAGTTATGCTGAAGCCGCAAAAGAAAAAGTCGTGAAAGACACATTCATTAAAGGCGTCTGCACAGAAAAGGCCCAGAACAACTCAGCTGACATGGCAAAACATCTCCATTAGCATTTAAATTAAGTGGAAAGCTTAAAAACTGGAACTGTATACACCACAACACAGCAAACAGGAAGTGTTGCTTACAAAGAAATGCAAACACAAATTTACCCTTACTATTCTTTCTGGTCACCAACAAAAATAAAAAAAAAGCTCAATCAACACTTTCCCCCAGAAAGGCTCCTGGTGGACTTCATTGACAACAAAAGGATTTCACACTAACGCAAGCAGAGATTTAACAGAGGTGTAATTTTTTTTTCTAATTTGTCAGCAATTACAGGATTAATTTACATGTTCATTATTTTGAAATTCTACCATTAAGGCTGAGTGTGTCAGGAAGTTGCCATCACTTTTCCATTAACATCAAGGAAGTTACACATGTAAATTTAAACTGAAAAAAACTCTGTGGCTCACAAGATAAAATCAATCTGCTCTGACTATCGGACATAAGAGCTACACATGCTAAAAACCTCATGCAAACACCCTCTAAAGGACACAAATGCATTTCTCTTTTCATGTTTTCAGCCATAACACAACAAAAAACTATAACAGAGGAAGCAGACCGTTTAGCCACATGGAAATAAAAGCTTTAAGATGAGGCAAAAACATAACCCTTCTACAAGAGTTGATTCGTTCCTTTAAGAATATTTAAGAATCTTCAAATTGGCAGGTCTGTAAATAGAAAAATGACTACATTTGGTCACAGTGGTGGGAATGCAGTTTTTAGCTAAACAGGAACACTTGAGGGCCTTTAACCTCTCTACTCCGGTGTTTGGATGTGAACTCTAGTTCTTCGTGTTCTGTTGTCTGACGGCTCAAACTGCCGGCTGCTGAAAACAGTGATTAAGCACAATGCAGCTGTGTGTCCTCCACTGGGTGTAAACTGGTAATTACAGCAATAACACAGCAGGTAGTGAGCAAATCTGTGTGAAAAGAACATCTAAATTACACCTAGTTATGCTTGACATGCATCTTTTAAGTGGCGAGGAATGCAGCAGAATGTTATTCGTTTAAAACACAGCTTTCTGAACCAGTCAGATCAGACAGAGGGGTGTGAGGTTTGTTGGCTCCAAGTTTGAATTTTAAGATTTAATTCTACGTTTGAACAGGTTTAACAGAGTGGGATTAAATTTAGGGAAGAGCCTAGAGGTCTTGGCCTCCAGCAAAAATTTCAGACAGCTGTCCGAAGGCAGCACATGACCCTAACCTCCAGAAAGAGCCGTCCATCTGGGGCTCAGGAATCCAACCCTACACACAGCCCACCGAAAAAAAAGAAGAACCGAACAAACATGACTAATTTCTGACGCTCCTGTGCTTTCATCATACGTTTGGCACACGCGTTGCAACATAAGGCTGAAGTCACCAGCTAGCAAAATAAATCTTAATTTACAGCTTTTCTTAGACTGATGGCATCCTCTGACTCGTCAGGTTTCTACAAAGCATCTGCTGCCTCATATTCTCCATTTTCCACTGACATTCCAACCACACTGATTAACGGCAACAAAAATGACTTTTAATTAAAGTTCATTTTTGAGGAACTCATGCAGGTGATCAAAACTCGGGGAGAAGTTGTTTAAGCAATTATAGAATCTGAAATGAGGAAAAATGCCATCTCTATTTTTAAACCACAGCCTGTACTCGAAGAAACCAAAAGTGTTCATGTCAATCCTTGATAATCATCTTTTCAGCGATCCTAGTTATGCAATTATGATCCCGGAAAAGACTTGAAAACATGTTTGTTATATCCAATTTAAAGCTAAAAGTGCCAGCAAAAAAAAAATATATATATATTTTTCTTTGGAAAAAAAAAGATACCATGTATGTTTAGATTTTTGACGGTTTACCCGACTCTTTTATTCGAAGCCGGAGAATAAACCAGAAAAATAAGCACAAATGTGTATCTATTCATGTCACATGTCAAGTATATCAGCACTCTTAATATACAAAGCTCAGTGAGGATCTCTATCAGAAGAGAGGCTCGAGTTTCGGGTGTAATGGACATTTGTTTGATTGTCATCCTTAAAGACTTGTATCAAGTTTCTCATGGAAAGAAGAAGAATTTGGAAGTACAAATAAAAACGTAACATGAGTTCAGAGTCGGAGTACAATTCTTAAAATGAACAAAACTGTCAGTAAATTACATGAAATCCAGTGCTAAATATAGTAAAGTAAAACAAAGTAACACCCTAAAGTTAGTCAAAACAAGCCAATCCTAACATGAGCATTTCAGATTTTACCATAAGACTGCAGCTAAAGATACAAACTAGCTTGATGTCAGAAAAAAAAATGTGTCCTGGTACACAACTAAAGTAGATCTACAGTATCAAACAAGACTTTTTAACATTTTATTTAAAGTTTTGGGACTTCACTTGAACCACTAGAACTCAGCATGCATTATCTCAGGCTAAATTCTCTTCTTTTGCTTTACTCCAGACCTCAACAGCTGAAGCTGCTCTGCTGATTTTTCAGCATATCAGGACAAAAAAAGAAACAAACAAATGGCAGTTCTACCTTAAATACACCCACCAAGAGTTTTAAAGCTAATTTACTCAGGATTTCTTTCCTGTTCACACACCCTAAAGAACAATCAAAGGAAACCTAAACACAACAGAGGCACTCAAACCAAACCACTTCACAAACCTCACCGCTCAGGCACAAGTGGAATTTTACTGGTTAATACATACCCAGAAGAGGAAGTTGAAGGCAAAAACCAGATATTTGATGCACTGCATTCCCTTCATGACTCTCGGCTTTAGATTTAGGATTTCTTCGGAAGAAAATATGAGCGTGTTGCTTTGACTGAGTCGGGAGAACAAAAGGAAAAGGAGGTCGGAGGATTTTCCTTTGTAACTGCGTGGACCACACCCATCTGAGACTCACCTGGGTTTTGATAGGGAAACGGTGGGGGAGGAGGGACGGGCAGGAGGAACCAGGGCTGTGGCTCTGGTGGCTGTGTGCTTTGGTGGTTTTCAGACAGACCACAGAATCCCCGCTGATTTACAACTTAGACTACAGGTGAAAGCAATTATCCGGCTCCCAGACCCAGACCCGTGGTAAACTTAACCCTTTAAGAAATTTCCCTCCACCATTTGTCAGAGCACACATTTTCCGCTGACTGATCTCAGTCCAGCCAAAGGTCAGTGAAAGTGATAGCTCTGGAGTGTCTCCTGCTAAAAGACAGTGTGTCTTATGACATTGCTTTTTTAAAATTTGTATGCGGTCACCAAAGAGTGCCTCTTTTTGTGGAAAAGTTAGAGAGTAAATGATTAAACCACAACCAAACTAATGATTACAAAACTTGGCAACATCGTCGTGTTAACAGCAAACAATGCAATTTGATATTTAAAATGATGTTGAATTTCCACCAAAGACAAAGAATGATGATTTCAATTACACTTTATAATTTGGTCAATAATCTTTGTCCGATTCATTCTTTTATAATAACTGTGTGAAGTCAAAAAGCTGTCAAATGAATGTAGTAGAAAAATAAGAAATAGCTGCAATGTCTTGATGAAACAAACAAATGTATAATACAATTTTGTTTATTTTCTGACACTGCCTGAAGCCTCTCCATGGGTCAGGTGATCCCTCCACCAGTTTTCTGTTTTGTGTAGAGTAAACGATCACTGGTTCATCCCTTGAGTTAGGAGCCTTTTTTTGCCTGCATGATTTTACAAGTCAGAGATAAAAGGCTTAACAAAAAAAGCAAAAAACAGCATAACTGTACCAATGGTAAAACGTTATTGATCAATATCTAAGTTACTCCAGTGAAGAAGAAAAATGCTACTGATCCTAAGTAACGTTTTTTGACTGGTCAAATAGTTTAAGGAACTTAACTCTGCACAGGTGGATAAGAAGTGGCAAACTGCCACATTTCAGGGACATCACTTTGTGGGTGCAAAACATTGATAGTCTGATCCAACTAAAATGTTCCAGAGAGGCCAATGTTCTGCTGGTACTTTGCTGTTTCTCCCCACAAGCAAAAAGTTTAAATCTTCAAATTAAAAAGGTGTGTGTACACACACACACACACACGAATCTCTAACAGGTCACCACCTAGCGTCCCTCAGAAAAGGGGTGGGATGCGAGAGGCGGGTCTCACCCTGGACAGCTCAAAATTTCATGATTTTAGCCACAAAGGAATCTAAGTCAAATAAAAATGTTACAGCTTTTTTCCCCTCTGAGCAAATATCTTCGGCAGGGAGGAAGATAAAGACTGGTTGAGCTTTCATTACAGGATGGGCTCTTTATTGCCCTTTCACAGAATCTTGTCTTGCTTAAATCTCACAAAATGAAGTCAAATCGATCAACAGAAAAGCTTCCACATTTTACTTTAAGACTACAACAGTGTATTGTTTCCCTTTCAAAGCGAAAAGAATCAATCGTTTCTTTGGAGGTTGATGTCTTGACTGGCTTGGTCTCTGGCTGCCTTTGTCCGCACAGACTCTCTATTGTGCCTAAACTCATGGATCAGACTCTAAAATGAGACCCTGGTTCATTCTTAATACTAACAACCAAATGTTTATCGCATTTGTCTGCTGTATGTTTAAAAATGGGTCTACCAAAATCAAATTAAACTGCAGTTCCTAAGATCTGCTACAAACGACTTTATATAACCAACTCACTGTTGAATCTTTGGGTAGCATTCTAAATAGCTACTTTCTAGAAAACTAGGGATCAAATTTCCAGCTTATAAATGAACATATTTTGCATTCAGCTTCGCCATTCACTTCCTGTTAGTCACGTTAATCTGTTTATCAAGTTTTTTGACAACATAAGTGAATCACAGTCTCCCTCCTTTTGCCCCTGATTTGATTACTGACGTGCAAAAATAGATCCATTTTAACAAATGAAATACAGCTGAGGAGACAAAACAGGGAATGTGTTGGGTTTTATTTAAATGCAATGGTCCCTTTTTATGTTTCTTTTTCCCCATACAATACAATACAGACTTGACTTTTTCGGATTCCACTGTACATTAATGTGACCTTTGAATAGCTCAAAAGCCATGTTGTTTTTGGCCACCGAGCACACTTTATCTCTGGGAAGCAGCAGAAGCTCTTTAGTGAAAGCATTGTGTCGTGTGTGTAGTTCCCCAACAGAAACTGGCATAACAATTTTTTCCTGTAGCACTCAGAAACTCACCAAATCATGACCGAATCTAATTTTTGCCCAAGAATGAGTGGTTATACTTGATTCCGAAAGTGATGGAAGATTTACTGCATCAATTTGGTGTTATTTTTGTTTCCTTTAACTGAGCTTTTTTTAATACAAAAGCACTCAAATACACAACAAACCCATATATAAATAAATAAAAAATAAATAATTCCCCTCTGGGATTATTAAAGTATTTCTGATTCTGATTCTGATTCTGATATATATATACATAAAAAGTTAAAAGGTTTGTTTTAGGACAAATTGTCAATTTTTGACCAATATTAGCTTTTAGATGGCATTAAATGTGGTGGTAGTCCGTCATCATCTATGAAATACATGCATTCAAATGAATCCGCAAATAGCTTGGATGATTAAAAATAAAATCTTACACTTACCCAGAAAATGAAGTTGAAGATGAAGAGGGCGTATTTGACGCACAGCTCCCAGCTGGTCAGCGCCGTCATCCCTGCGGTGTCTTCGGATGTAGTGGTCTGCAGGAGGTCAGATATCTGCCAACTTCTCGGTTGTCTTTGACTTTGTGGCTGCCGCTTCTGCCGCCGTCGCTTCGGCTCTTCTCGGCTCCGTTCGTTCGTTTCCGTTCGGGCTCCACCGAGCGAAACACGTCATCAACTGCCCAACACCCACAGAGAGATGCTCCGCCGGTGTTGGCTGTGAATGAGACAAAATTGTTTTAAACATCTTGACAGTTTGATGAAGTGCAGGAACAAACAAAAAAAACCTTATAATAACCCCAGGCAGGCTTTTTAAAATCTACTTTAATAAGAGCAGACATTAAACTTAAAACGTATTTGTTCAGGATGGCTTTTTGCACCTAAAATCTCTGTAAACTGGGTTCTATATTTCGATAGTTTGATCTGTTTTTATTCTGTAAAGCACTTTGATCAGCTCCGGTTTATGTAAAGTGCTATATAAATAAACATTGATTGATTGATTGATTGATTGATCGATCGATCGATTGATTGATTGATTGATTGATTAAAGACATCAGTGTGAAAACGTATGAAAATGTTACCAAATAGCACACATGCACCCTCTGACATTATTTATGCATTCCAAAAACTTAGATTTTGTTTTTTATTTGAGCAATTTGCCTCTTAATTGGCCAGATAAGCACGATTTGACTTACATAAGTTATAAAGTGTTTCCTTAAAGTAAAATACACAGTGAAGTAAATTCTTCCTTGAAAGTGAAGTCAGACCTGTCTTATGTTCATGACCTTCACAGTCCTGTGTTTAGTCATATTGTTAGTTTAAATTTTGAGGCATCCAAGTCATAGTAATCCTAAAACCTTAAGAAATGGCAACTAGACTTCTTCATCTTGGATCATAAAGACCTTTCAACTCCAACCTGAACGCATCTTCAGTGTCTTTAATACCGTTTAATTATATATATATATATATACAGTGAGGAAAATAAGTATTTGAACCCTGCTATTTTGCAAGTTCTCCCACTTAGAAATCGTGAAGGGGTCTGAAATTGTCATCTTTGGTGCATGTCCACTGTGAGAGACATAATCTAAAAACAAAATCCAGAAATCATTAAACTTTTTATTTGTATGATACAGCTGCAAATAAGTATTTGAACACCTGTCTATCAGCTACAATTCTGACCCTCAAAGACCTGTTAGTCTACCTTCAAAATGTCCACCTCCACTCCATTCTTTTTTTTTTATTATATCACAGTGGACATGCACCAAAGATGACAATTTAAGTTTAAGTGGGACAACTTGCAAAATAGCAGGGTGTTCAAATACGTATTTTCCTCACTGTATATGTATGTGTATGATCAATCCATATAAATGTTACATGCGTAGTATAAAAAAACACTGTGTTCTTCCCAAATGCATGAGAAGATTTTAAAGTGGACAAGCCTGATTTCATTTGCAGATGTTGAATTTAAACAAATTTATGGGTCTTCATGAGGCCACAAAGGTCAACAGATAGCTAACCAAGTGTGTGTGTGTGTGTGTTTCATGAGGCTATATTCTCTGTCTCTGTGGTGGAAAAGAAACAGTTGTTGTTCTTCAGTGGAACAAAGGCCTCAGTGTGAGCCATCGGCCCACCACTTTTGTTTGCAGCTGCACACAAACACAAAGTGAGGGGGAAAATTAGGGAGTCCATTGATGCCCAGCTGACCAGAGTCAGAGCAGTTTGACCGTAAACGCTCAGATTTTCACATCTCACATCTTTGTAATTTAGCAATTTCAATTACTTCAAGTGTTCATAGAACATTTTATTTAAAAAAAATTGTGATTAGAGCACACTGTGTTACTGCCAAAGAAAAAAAAAAGTGAAATAACCAATTTAAGTATTTATTTAGGTGCTGTTTTTCATTCTCATGTAATATTTTAGGAATGTTACAGTCTGAAATCATCTTGATTTTTTTTTTTTCAGAACCGGCCCCATGCTGGAGGAATTGGATGTGTTAGGATTTCAGTTTCAGACCAGCTGAAGTGTTCCATTACTGTCTCACTTTTCTTTCTGTCCCGTGCAGAAGCCTGAATGTGCTCCTCTCAGCCGCTAAAACAAAACTGCCTTCATCCCCTTGGTGCTGGATGTGTTTGCGATGCTGTTCATCTTTTCAGCCTTTACAAAGCGTCCCTTCACAGCTGCAGCCTCCGCCTCCATCTGAGGGTTTACCAGAAAGGCTCGGAGAGGAAGATGAAGAAGAGGAGGACAGAAGGCAATTTCTGTAATTGAGCTGGTTTATAGAAATTCCAAATGTTTGAAACAAAAGGATTTATTATTCATTAAGATTACATTTAGATAAAGATTCCTAAATTATGAAGAACAGTTTTTTTTTTCTGTACTCTACTGACATCCAGTGGTAAGATATTAATGGTGCAAAACGACCAAAGTTGAAACACATTTTAGGGTCCATGAGAACAAGATCCCACTTAGTGTGCAGGAATTTGAACTATATTAACTTTTGAAAGACATCACACTACTTTCTTTATCTAATAATTATGAGTCAGGGTGTAGATGGGGTGGAGTTTCTGGTGGGCTGAGTAGTTGGACACCGGCTGGATGGGTCACTAGTCCAGTCCAGTTCATAGTTAGCCAAGTTTTATTAAATATAATGATTAATGAAAGAGGATATAAAATATATATATATATTTAAAACTTTCCATGGATGATTTTTGTAATTGCCAGTGGTATATTATTTTTTTATTAGGATTATTATTGTTAATAGTTATCACCAAATAATTCCCAATGGTGTTATTTATTTAATTCCGTATTTACAATGTTCTTTTCCGTAAATTGTCTTACTTGTAAAGGTCATATTCGAATGTTTTGATTTGAATTTTTAGCTGAAAGGGTTCTGTTATTTAAAGACAAACAAACATGTGGAATAATTACATGATGTACCGAACTTATTACAGGTGAGTTTGTTTGCTGAAATACCCGGTTACATTAATAAACCTTTTCCAAAGCCCTCCAAGCTAATCCAGTCGTGAGTTATTTTTTTTAACGTATGAAGTAACCGTCTTGCTTAGCCAATCAGAGGCGCCCGAAGGAACGGGAGCAGCCAATGAGAGAGGGGCGCGCTCTGATGGGGAGTTAGCGGAATGCCACCTGTTCAGTTGCTCTTCAGAGACAGGAACGGTCACCCGGGCATCTTCCCGGCGGCATTTAACTAGCAACCCAGCGTCGGGCGTTCCAACCGGAGGGGCGGCTAACGGCGGAGAGCTCCGCGGACCGGAGCCGCCATGGACCGGGCCCGCGGCGGCACGCGGCCGTGCTCCCGCGGGAACGCGCGGCTGGACTCCTTCCTGAAGCGGAACGCGGACCGGGGCGTGTACGAGCGCATCCGAGCGCACGAGCCGTGCGTGGTGCTGTCCGACAGCATCAACAAGGTGTACATGCACGTGGTGCTGAGCGACGAGCGCTTGTACCTGACGGAGTACCTGCCGCGCACGCTCACCGCGGCCGTTTCCTTTGAGAGCGTGCGTGACATCGAGTTGGTGAGTTTAAACTGAGAATCTCCTAAGTTGACGTGTTCAAATGTAAATGTTTTCAACTTTGTCACGTGGAATAGTTCTTATATTTTTTGCTCATCCATCTATCTCCTTGAGTAATTTTGATCTAGTTTACAAAAGTGGAAAGTTGGAGACTAAACTATATGATTTTTATTTATTTAAATTTTGTGTCAATTTGGTTTTTGGACGAAAAACAATCATTTCTGGGATTCTGACAGAGCAGATTTTTTTTTTCTTCTGATTTATTTACACACAATAACTGGTATATTGTCAAACGGTAGACAGTGTAATAAGTGGAGTTTCTGGTGGGTGAGTTGTGGGATACCTGTTGGATGGGTCACCAGTCCCTCACAGTCCAGTCCAGTTCATAGATAAACAAGTTTGACAACATAGCATTATTATTATTTTATTATCATTTTCATTATTCTATAATTAAATCCAAGCTCCTGTCGTCATTGGGAACAGTGCGATCTTTAAAAATGTCAAACTTAACACAGTTTGACAAACAGAAAACAGGATTTTTGCAGCAACAAGTTGATCCCTAAAGAGCCGCTGGCTGGAAACTGGGCAGATCTCAGCCTGGTGTGCAGGGAGTCCTTAAAACATTTGAGGAAAATGGACAAGAAGAGGACGAAAGAAAAAGAGCTGGGCCTAAAACACTATCTCCAGCAGATGAAGAGGATCTGAAAGTGATGAAAGAGGAAATCCCAAAAAACCCCAAAAGACAAATTCAATTATTTTCAAATATGATTTTTGCAATTGCCATTGGGATATTTTTATTATTATGATTATTATTGGTATAATAAGTATACTTCAGTTTAATTCATTTTCAGAAGTTCTTACATTTTGATAAGTAATTTAAGGGTTTTAAGCAAACCAGCTCTCGTTTGACGATTTTCTTTTGTTGTTTGGAGTTTTTTTAACTTGAAGACTATAGTTTCCTTGAGTAATTTCCCATGAAATTGACTCTTTAAGAACAGTCACTGTAACTTTTATGTCGTTCTTCTAAAGCATCGGCACCATTTCTTTTAACGCTGTAATTAAATCTTTTAAGACGGACGATTTATGTATCATCTAACCATCAATTCTAATCTGCAGCAGCGGTTGTTTTATCCTCTTAGCAGGCAGTAAGCTGAATATTTTTAGGCTTAGCACACGCATAGAGGAACACTAAATAGCATTAAGACTGATCTGATATTATAACCTTTATTTTCAGTCCAAACTGTGACACAAGACAGTCAGATTACTGTGTCCTAGTAGTCCTGAAAAAAATAACTTGGCTTTGTGACCCCTGCCAAACTGCCAGATTACTGATCAGATGCTGTTAGTTACAGGTTTATTTCCGCCACAATTATCAGACAATCAGCGGATTGTTATTGTTTGATTTGTTCTTTCCAGCAGCAGCTTCATTAATCTGACAGGAATGACGCCCATCTGGTTTTCCAGAGTCTTCTAAAGCAGTCCAAGCCCTTAAAAGTCAACGTCTTCACAGTGCAAACAGCCGTGGTGACCTGCAGCCTCATCAGACCACACGTTTCTACACATCTGCACAGATGTTGCCGGCTGAGACAATTAAGATAATGAATCTAATCTCATTTATCCAATTCCCGCCGCCTCGTGTCTTTTCTTCTCTGTCCTCCAGCCTGAGACCTGGAAAGCGTTAACATACAGTTGATGATTCTGATATGAAAATGTACCCGGATGAGAGAGGAGGCCAGTTTGAAAGCGAAAAAAGAGAATCCAGCAAGGCATGTTTAGCTGACAGCTTCCTGGTTTTTGCAAAACCAGAAGGACACAAGTCACATTTATTGTTTATCTGACAGAAATAGTCATCCACACAGGGGGTAAAAACATGGTTAGGAGACAGTAGCTCTGTCCAATCAGATGTCATAAACTTTAGTGTGCTGTCCACACTGTAAATCCTGTACAGATACATGGTTCCTGGTTTGAATCCCAGCTGAGGCCTGTGTCAGGCTTCCTAGGTCTTAAGACTGTGAGCATCCCGAGTCCATGCTGCCTCTCTCCCAAGGAAAGCTTGGTTAAAAACACTCCATGTGGTTTTTATGTTGTTATTTGATGGGGCATTTCTGTTTAAGTACAAACGCACCTGGTTGGTTATTTCTTCTTATAAATACCAGAAAATACTGACAGAAATTTTACCATAGCATATCCACGAGGATTAAATGCCATTAAAACCCACAAACTGAATTCAGATAATCAGTGTCAGTTAAATTAAACCTTAAATTAAAGTACTTTGAAGTCTTTTTGTATGACTCACATAATCATACCATTCATAAAAAAACATGAATAAAATGCATGATCATTTATTCCCATATCTGATCTGATATCCTGATTTTTAACAACCTGAGCTACGTGGAATGATTTACAGCACCTTTAATTCATGCCTGGGTGATTAGTATCAGACTTGCACCAGTGAACAGTGTGAGACTGTCGATTGGGGTCACTGACCTGAATTATTATGCAAAGCGAATGACCCCAATTAACTACAGAAAAGGTTCAGCGTCAGGGTTGCATAAAATAAAAAAAAGAAGATAGACGGCATGCTTCAGAAAAGCCTGAGAGACAGGTGAGCCTCTGATGTCTGCAGCTTGTTATGTCAGAGGTTTAGGGTTGTTCTGACAGAGTAAATCCAGGCAGATTAATGCTCGACCTGACCTACGATGGCCTGGCTGGAGCCGCAGCTCACCTTCTGTCAGGACTACTGAGAGTCAGTGGTAAAACTGTTAAACCCTGCTTCCTTATCAGATAACACGCTAAATTTCCCACTTTCACCCGACGGCCGGGAATAAAACACGCTCTGGGAAAAATCATTTGGGGGCGAAAAACTAAATCTCTGTATTTTGTTTTGGCTGTTCAGATTTCCGGGGAATCCCAGCAAATGTTATTCATTTCTGTATTTCTACTGGACTCCAACTTCAGGCAAAGCTCTGGACCTCCAAGTGGGATTTTCTCTTTTCTAGGTATTAATCCATCCATCCAATACGGTAACCGCTTATTCCGGGGGGACTGCAGCCTATCCCAGTAGTTAATGGGTGAGAGGCAGGGTCATCCTTGACAGTCCGCCAGGCCATCGCAGGGTCACACAGAGACACACAAGGACCAACAACCACCCACACTCACTCCTAAGGGCAATTCGGAGTGTCTAATCAAGCTAACATGCAGGTTTTTGGACAGTGGGAGTAAGCCGGAGAACCCGGAGAGAACCCACAGACACAGGAGAACATGCAGACTCTGCTTGCTATTGATACCAAATCATATCATTAGCATTTTTTTCCCAGCAGGAAGTCATGCATTGTAATTTCCCTTTTGTCTTTGTAGACACCATTAGATACATATTTTTATTGCACATTTCTGTATTAATGAGGTTCCAGGTAATGAGGGCCAGCTCATCTCATTCCTAACGGAGTGGTCAGTTTGTTCAATCCTTTCTGCTGCATTTACTTAATGTCCTACCTCCTGTGTCTCACTATCCGCAATATCCTCTCTGTTACACCTGCACAGGTGAACGACCTCCCAGAGTTCCTCAGTTTGAAGGACAGGGAGCGCTGTCAACACATACGGATCACATATGTCACCGAAAAGCCTGCCGGAAAGGGACGCGATTGGTCGAGGAGGAGCAACGGGGAGGGGCTTCCCCCCGCGGTGTCGCGTTCTCGCAGAGCCAGCCACATCCCACCGATGGTAAAGATGGAAGGTACAAACTCGTGTGTAAGCTTTTTTTTTTTTTGTCCAGCTCAAAATGAGCAATGTTGGTAATATTCTTAAAACGTGAAAAAATAGAAAACAAACAATGGTAGAAATAATATTAAAAAATATTAAATGTTCAATTGAATACATCATTTCTTTTTGGAATGGTGACCATCACATTAACTTTTTAAACAAGTGATAAAGAGCCCTGCCACATGTGGAGTGTAAACAAACTAATGGAATACAGCAGACAGGAAATACTGGTGAGCCTACAAGTAGTGGCCTTTTTTTTTTTTTTTTTGTTACATCAGCATTTTGAGACATGCGTATAGTTTTATACTAATTTTGAATTCAATTTAAAGCTTTACTTTTAGTATAAAGAAAAAATGACAAGGAAAAATAACCAGAATTATATTTTGCTGTCTTTTTACACACATTTTTTTAACTGGCCAGGACAAAGGGATAAGTTGGTGAGATTACTTGATCAGGGATTCTTAGGAGTCCTAACCTAAAAGGAACTGCTAATGAATTCTTCATTGTTTAATTGCATTGGAAAATCAGTGATCTGATCCCTGTAAGGGAACCCAGGGAGGCTCACAGCTGGTGTCCTGCTTCGTGCTGAAATCTTTACCTGTAATCCTAACCCTCCCGTGTCTCCGTTTCCCCCACAGGCTATTCTGCAGAAAGGTGAGCACGCACTGCCCTGCATTCCACTCCACACTTCACTTTGCACCCACAGACGCTCAGAATGGGACTGAACTATCAACCATATTTATTCTAACTTCAGAGAAACTTTTCATTCCAAGTTTCATGGCCAAATGTCTTCTGGAAAGGACAGCAACTGGCCACATCAGGGTTAAAAGTCCACCCAGATCCTCATGTCTCCGACCCGTTACATGATCCCTGAAGGGAAGCTGAGACGGGCCGGGGTGGCTCTTACTATTTAACCAGCATAGAGGAGTAGACTGATAAAGATCTGCTCCACGCCAGTCCATTCTTGTCTTCTTGTCTTGCCTCCTCATTAAGTTTCAGGGATTTAATGAGATTTGGGAGATGAGGGATTTAAAGGCTTTCAGCTGAAAATGTATGTCTGGATTTGCATTCTCCTCTTTGTCCTGCAGACTTTGTGTGTTGAAGTCTGGGAGAGGGACAAACCGGGAGCTGTAAAAGCTTTACAGTTGTTTCTGTCTGACGGCCACACAAGGAGGGAGGACAGGTTCACAGTTAGCAGCGAACACGGGTCGTCTTTGTTAGGAACTTTAACTGGAAGCTGCACCAGTGCCTGAGTGTTAAGCCTCAGCAAACGTTATGGGCAGCTCATGACTTCTTTACATAAGCAGGAGCGGCTGGCCTCATTAACAATGTCCAAATGCCACCACCACAGCATCCTACTGAACTTACTGTACTGGGAAGTTCAATTAGTACAAGTTCCCCAGAGCCAAGACTGATTTTGGAAAAAAACAAAACCCATGACACTAAGTTTTTGTCCAGATTGGACCAAAGTGGAAACGTTTGGTTAGAACACACTGTAGCACGTTTGGAGAAAACCAAACCCAGCACAAACATTCAGACATCCCGTATCAGTGGATTTTAGTTGTTCTCAAACGTGTTAATGGTCCACGTCTGGAGGCGATACGCACAGAATAAAGACTAAATAAGGACTTCCTGCCCCATCCTACTAGCTGCTTTAGATTTTGGTCCACACCACTCCGTGCGATCCTCCCTGCTGAAATCCTGTGAGATTATGTCACTCCAGTAATTCCTCTGAGCACCAATCAGGAAACTGTTGACTGTCAAGAGAAGAAAAGAATCGCAAACAGATTCCCTGTCACCACACTGAGCGGTTGCCTGGTGACGGGCATTAAAGGTGATGTGAACGTCAGAAAGCGTGAAGGCTGTCTGGTGCTAATCTGCTGGGACGTCATTAAACCCACCGTCTCTGGTGGTGGGCAAATCCACAGCACATGCAGATAAATGGTCAAAACCTCATTGAACATAGATGGCAGACGGACACCTGACCAGAGAGGCCTTCTAATGAAAGAGTGGCAGCAGTTTGAGCCAAAGATGCAACATGAGAACGTCACAAAGGGAAAGCAGCTAGGGAAAGATGGTATAACCGGGTTCCATTTTCTCTTCTGTCTGTTTCAGCCAGTGGATGAAGGAGGACCTCCAGCCAGTGCGGAAGTCCACCCGCTCCGCCTCCTGCCCTAACGCAGAGTTGTTGGGCCTCCCGAGGGTCCCACTTCCTCCCTCAGAGCGCCCCACGCCTTCCCCTTTATCCACTCCGCCCACCTCTCCGTCTCTCTCAGAGGAAAGCCTGAAGACCCTTGAGAGCAGTCAGGTATGAGCTGCTCTGATAGAGAACCACAGCAAAAAAACAAAAACACAGCCATCATACATGTGTATACACCATTTCTGGTGATTTCTTTCTCTTTAACCTCCTGTTTTCTCCAAGTTACATGATATTAGTTGGACCTAAAAAGACTCATGTACACATAATTTTTTTTTCTCATTTGAGGAGAGTTGGTTTGACTTTGGATTTTAAATGTACATGTATTTTATTCTATTATTTTGCTATTACCGGTATTTTGCAATTTCAGGTCATACGGTCCGAATTAGAATTATCCATGTCCCTATGTAAGGATGCTTTACTTTTTTAGTTCTCAAAGAGTGTCTGATGGTGTCTACTATAAAGCCAACAGGTCATATTTCAACAAAAAAAAAGAAGTAATGACTTGGAGAAAATATATTCTGAACATATTGATGGTTCTCTGATGTAGTTTGCCACAAAGCCATGACCTTTCCTACCTCTGTCACAGAGCTAAAGCATGATGATTCCACCAAGTGTTCTCATTTTATAAATATAATCAATTTGAACTTAAGCCCTTCTTGTACTTATGATGGAGTCTTCCTCTTCCTGGCGTGACATTCCAGGTGACACACAGCATCAGCTCCGTTCTGTCGCGCATCCTGAGACGAGACCCCGCCAGCAGCGCGGTGGAGAGGGAGGCGGAGCTGCATCTTTACGCCGTCTCAGAGACATCCAGACTGTACCTCCACCTGCAGAGCTCCTGGAACAGCTTCATCATTGTGAGTAAAGACGCACGCGCGCTTAGAGAAGCAGCCTAATTGTGTCCCCCCCCCCGTCTGCTGACGCACGCCCGCGTGTTTGTGTGCTCAGAAGTCCACTCTGATGCTGGACCCGCTGTACAGGAGGAGATGCGTGGCCTCCCCAGACCCCGGGACCCCCAGCATCAGGTAGGGAACTCCCCCGGGAGGTTAGGGTTAGGGTTAGTCCGCACTGTCAGGCTCTCTGGGTGGGAGCTGACGTGGGACAAAATGGCGCCCCTTAATGAGGTTTGTGTTGGCGCAGCATGGAGAGGATGGCTCGCCTGTTCACCCAGCTGAGCTCCGAGCTGCTGCAGAGCGGGATCGGCCAGGAGAAGCTGTACGTGCTGCTCCAGGAGCTGAGAACGGCCGCCCACCGCTACATCCCGCTGCGCAGACTCTTCTGGAGGGTGAGCCCGTCCCCGGGAAGGCTCTAAAACAACCTGTGCTCACTAAAAGGAGGGCCTCAGATGGTTTTCTGCTGACTGAAAGGGGTTGTGTTTTTGTGCGTTCCAGTCGGGTGAAGTGTGTGCCTTCCTGGTTGAGACTCTGGAGGATTGTCTGCACGGCTGCGGGAGCCTCGGTGGAGCTTACACTGCAGACCAGCTACTGTAAGACTCAGTGTGTAGGACGGGCAGTAAATATGGGTTAGCTCCCAGCTCAGATATGCTTAAATTAAAGCTGGGAGATTATAAAGCTTCGGTTTTAACTGGGTCAACGTTAGACCCAACCTCAAGACTTAAGGTCATTGTCCAATGTAACATAAAGTGAAGCCATTAACACCCGCCTGTTTCTGTCTTCAGAATGAGCACTCTGATCGTTCAGACTCTGGCCATCATGTTCAGGGAGACGGAGGTGGAAGCGGCCAGGATCAACCTGCTCTCCGCCAAAAAGTAATTCCCTCTGTCTGAATGTAGCACTATATGTTTCATTTTATGGCCATGTTCTATGTTTCTCTGCTGTTTAGTCAACATTTATAAAATGTCTCTGATACATTCTAAGACAATAGTTAATGTGTAACATCATACGTGCAGTTTCACTGACAATGGGCTGAAAAAAATGCAACATAGGAAATCATAATTACTATCAAACAAATGCAAAGTAAAATAAAATCATGAAAGTTAGTCGATATACATCTATTTGAGGTAAATGCTGTAATTGTGTTGCAGAGGAGCGCTGGCTTCTAGAATGCTGCTGGCCTTAGTGTGTGATCCTCAGCTCAGCCTGGTCAACTCTGAGGTGGGCTGCCGTCTGCCGCCGTCCTTAACTAACGGCACGTGTTTAGAGACGATTTACCATGCTCTCCTCCCGTTGTCCCGCTTAGATACAGAGCTTGCTGACTGAGTACCTGGATGCTGCCTGCACTCTCCTCTTTGAGCTGCTGCTTTTAGGCCACGAGGTGAGTTCTGATGGAACAAGGACAGGGTGCCTCTCAGCTTAAGTTAGTCAGATATATAAGGATTTAGTAAATGTTTAGCAAAAAAAAGATTAATCTTATGTGTACAAAAAAGTCTGGAGTAAAAAAGGCAATCCTGATTCAAAGACCTGCAGTCAAGACAAGCTCTGAGGTGTTCTTAAAGAAAAAAAATAATAATAATGTGAATTTAAAGCAAGAGTTGTCTGTTTATATAATCAAGTTCCGTTCTTTGCAGTAGCATTTTGGAGCCTGGAACTTTTTTACCTGATGCCAAAATGAATTAAGCTTGGTTCAGACTAAAGCTTTAAAACAAGAATAGGGTATTATAAAAAATGTCTGTTTTTTGATCCATCAAAGATCCAGCCTCCTCCAGTTGGAACACCCTTTCATTAAATCCAACCCCTATTTTAAATACCAGACAGACATGACGGCCAGCAGAGAACCTAAAGATGACATCCAGATGAAAAAACGCGAAAAATCCCAGAACTAGTTAACAATGCCAGTTATCTGTAATGTGTTTTTTTAAGCGTCCCCTGTGTGTTTTAGACCAGCAGGTGTTTCTCTGCAGACAACTTCCTGTCTGTCGGCTGGAGCCTCCGAGTCCTGCAGCCCCACCCCCACCTGGTAAGGGTCACCTCAGAGGACCAGCGCCACTTCCTGTTGAGCTCCGAGAAATAGGAATCACCCGCTGACCTGAACCTGTCCCACCCCACCTCCCCCCCCCAGATGGCCTTCATCGGTTACCAGGCCCAGCAGGTGGTGCTGGTTCTGTCGGGCCTGCAGGAGTCCCCCCTGAGCCCGGCCCAGTCCGTGCTTCTGTTCCAGCGCTGCGGCCTGCTGCTGGCCTGTCTGCAGTACAACCCCCAACTGGCCCAACACCTGCGGTCCAGCTTCAGAGAGGAGTTCAGGTTTGCTCCGTCCACCTCAGATTTAGCCTCAGATTTAGCCTCAGATTTAGCCTCAGATTTAGCCCGCTGACCATCAGTTTGTCATTCACGTTTAATGTCTGCATCAAACTGATGGTAAAGATGGCTCCATCCCACAGCCGACCTCTTGATTTACTGCAGAGTTGTGTCCACAGGCTCTGTGGTCTCCCCCTGGACACGGCTGACCCGCATTAAAGGGTCTCCCGCCTCTCTGTCCTCCAGGTTCTTCGTGAAGGTGTCGTGTGCCGAGGAGAAGCTGTCGCCGCACCACCCCATCAGCCGGCCCACGCTCAGACTGGTGGATCACATTCAGACCCGCATTCAGTACACATAACGGGACCGGAGCCCCCCCCCACCCCCACCCCCACCGGACCAGGAACCCACACCCACCCACTCACCTCCATCTGGCAGAATAGCCGGTGCTGACGTTTATTCGAAGCTTCTTTGCCCAGAGCTTAAGGCCCTCACAAAGATTGATTTGGCCACCATTAGAGGTTTAGCCTCCTATTGACGATTAAATGAGACTAATCTAAAACTCAGTCTCAGGGAGAGAGATGCAGGTGGGCGTCACATCAGTACAATGAGGAGATTCCTTTTCTTTTCTTCTGTGAATGCCAATAGCAGACTTATCTTAGGTTTTTAAACAGTTTTAAGCAAGACTCCTTTCATAGTTTGCTGTTCAAGAGCAGAACATTCAGAGACTGTTGGCCCCGCAGAGCATCTCTGTGCTGTGTTTTATTATATATATGAATAGTTTTCCATCTGACAGCCCAGAGCATTTAGTTGGAAATAGGCAGATACACCATGAACAACCCACCCAAACCTTCTGGTTACCAGTGGGCACTCCCACCCGATACGACTCTCAGCTTTGGACCAATAGAAGTAACACCATGAAAAAAAAAAAAAGGGTGCCGCACTTTTTCTCAAGCTCTCCAAATATGCTTTTTGCTCACTGGGTAAAAAGGAATTTTGTGCTCAGAAAAAAGCATTGTATGGACACCCACCCACCCAGAGGACTTCTAAAAGAAAAAAAGAAGTAAAAAGGTGTGCCTTAAACAATTTATTTTGTGCTTTATGCAATAAAGACTTTTGCTGCTCCGAAATGTTTCTGCATTATTTAGGCATCAGAGAGTATTTCCATTATATACTGTATATTTGGGGGAAAAAAAACGTATTTTAAGTCCATCGTTTAAAGATCTGAGGACAAGTCTATAGAAGTGTGTGTGGCAGAATGTGAGCTTCGTTCCTTGGAATGTCATACTAATACATTTCCAGGTTTAAATCCATTTAAAAAAGGCTGAAGCAGGTTTGTCCCTGATGCTGAGCTTCAAACACTTCATGGTCCTCTCAAAGATACTTATAATCAAGTTTACGCTTTACCTTTAAAAAACAAAACAATCTGTTAGAATTACAGAAAGTTTTTTGTAGCAGCAGTAATGCAAAGTTCAGAAGTCCAACTTTAAAATATTTTATTTTGACTTTAATTTCAATTAAGAAAGATATATTTTGAGATTTTTAAATATGATACATTTTCATAATCTGATAAAACCATAAACTAAAAAAAGTCACTGTCAAATCTAAGTGCATTATTAATTAATAGCATTGATCAGAAAGAGCTTTCTTATTGACACTTAAGTTAAAATAAAGACTTCTCACTGAGTTCTGCCAACTCAGAGGGGCAGAACACTAATGAACTTTGCTTTAGGATGAAAAATCTGACATAAAAATAAATATCAGTGTGTTATTGTGAGAACTATAAAGTTGAGTCCCGAGTTAACACAGAGCAGGACTTAAGAATTAAAGAACAAAGACATCATTCATTACAGGTTCATAGACAGATTCAAGCTCAGGTGACTGACTCTAAAAAAAAAAGTGTAATGCACCCTGTGCTGGGATTTCTCAACCAAAAAATAAAACAAACAAACAAAAAAAGACTTCCAAATAAAAACATTTCCTGTGATTCACTTGATTAGGTTTCCATTGCACTTAAAGTCAGGTGAGGTAGTCCTGGAGCCCCCTCAGAATCCCCCGATAGGAGCCGGATAAAAAGACCATTACAGATGGAACAGTTTTGACTGTTCGCGTTGATTGAGAATCTGGGTCCTTTCTCACGATCTGTCTGGACTCCTGCGCTCTGCTGTAGGGGCTTGGGTGGAGCTCTGCTGGACGAGAGAGGAGGGGGCGGCACCGGTCCGGTCCTGTCCAGTCCGGTCCGGCGTGGTGGCGATGACGGGGGGGCGGTCTGAGCTCACAGCTTGGCTATGTGAGCGGGGCTGCAGTACAGATGCTGCTGCAGGAAACTCAGCATCTTCCTCCAGGAGTCTTCCTGAGCATCTGCGTGAGGCTTGGTCTGCCCCCCCCACAGCAACACCACTGCAACACACCGCCGCCATCATCATCATCATCATCACCATCATCATCACCATATCACAGAGAATCACCAAACATTTCCCAACTACTCAGCATCAGGATATAAATGATGCTGCATGGAAACGCATTAGCAAGTTCCAGAGCTCTAACCCTAACATGTCCTCTCACACACTGTTGAGTTTTGTGGGAGATCTGATGAATAACAGACTGTTAATAAAGGATGAATATCGCATTATGGATTTTGTTTAGTGTCGATAGGCCTTCTCTGCAAATATAGTGACGTAATTCACCTCGTTGTGCGTGTGGACATCATCATCCTTTGGGTAGAACTTACCCTTTTCTTTAGTCGTCTGCAAAATGAAGTTGGTCGCTCTGAAATGAGGTGTGAAGGGCGGTTCGATCAGATGACCAGCGTCCGGGTAGTCCAGCCGGGTCAGCAGATGTTCATTGCCAGCTGCCTGCATCATCTTTTCTATCTGGGTTTAAAAATAAGACACTGAAGTGAGACCGGATATAAAAACTGTGAAATTGGATCACATTTCTGCTGGTTTGGCTGGAGAGTTCCTATGGATGATAACTGTTCCCTTCACTGTCCTCTCTGCCTTCTGGGGAGAGTGTTTCCAAACATGCTGTGCGCTGTAAAAAGTGTGGAAATTACCCCCTTTCCTGAAGCAAGGCATGCAATACTGATTTTAGCAGCTAAATATAGTTATTAAAGCCCTCCAATGATGGTAATGAAGCTGGGAACAGCTAAATATGAGCATGTGTGAGCTCACGTCAGCAGCCGTCTCCACTGCGGGCCAGTTCTGGTCATCGCTGCCGTTGACCAGCATCACCGGGCAGCTTATCTTCCCCACCTACCACAAAGAAGAGCTTTCAAAATGAGGTCAGAACTGCATTCACACTAACTGGGAGAACCATTAGTTTAAGTGTGTTACATAGAATGCCAGAACAGGATTGGACTTACTTTGACTTTCAGTGAGGGGATGTTTATAAGAGGCAGGGACGCATCCCTCCACACCTGACTGTTGCTCTCATCCACCCGGATCATCTTTACCTGTCTGCCATCACACAAAAATGTTCACGTTACTCCAGCGGTAACTCTTTAAGTAGAGCGCAGACCCTGCAGACGGGCGTGGCCCACCTGGGGAACATCTGATTAAACTGGCCCAGGTCCTTCCCTGGAGGTGTGACATGGATGTTGCTAATGCAAATAATACACCGGGGCTGAAACACAGTAGATGAGGATGTGACCCTTTTGACTGGACCAAAACCATCCATTCAAAACACAATAGTAATATAAGAACTGTATATTATAAACCAAGTTAAAAAAAAAAAAAAAACTGAGCTGAATAATGGTGGCTTCACGGGCATAAATAAACCAACAGAGCTTATTCCATTACTTCCATTACTTACTTTGGCACAGATGCTTTCGGCTGCCAGGCTGAGAGCCACAATAGAGCCGAAGGAGAGGCCGATAATCCCAACTCTGTCCGCCCTCACCAGAGGATGAGCCTTGACAATATCGAATGCGGCCTGTGCCAAGTGAGGTCAAAGGTGAGGTTCCACTCACACGTCTGGAGTCAAACACTCTTGTCGATGTGTAAAAATAAGTACAGATCATTTTGTTATTTTACATTCAAATGTAGAAAACGCACAGACCTCAAAGTATTCCAGCACCAGACTGCGTGGAGCAGCCTGCATTTCCTCGCCTTTGATGTACTCCAGAGCCAGCGTGGCGTAGCCGTGGGACGCCAGCAGGGCGGAGCGGTACTCTATCAGTCCCCCCCCCCCTCCCCACAGGTCCAGCATCCCGGGGAAGGGTCCAGGACCTGGTTCAGAGGGATGACCCCCGTCAGGTCACGTGCTGCTTTAACACTGTAAAGCGGTGAGATGACCGGGGGGTGGTAGAGAAGTGCACAGTGCTGGCCGGGGGGGGCACAGGCGTACCTGGGGGTATGAACAGGGTCCCTCGCACCTCTTTAACGCTAACGTTAATCCTCTGGACCCCTGGGGCCATGTACCACCTCTCTGCGAGCACAGAGGCCAGAGGAGGCTGATCCCGGAAGTCCTGGTGTCCGCTGTAGACCGAGATGTTGACCTCCATGGGGGTGCACACGTTCAGCTTCCTCAACCTGACCACAGAAAAAAGCGTTCAACACGCAGAAACAACAGCCTCAGTTTACGAAAGGTGCACTGAAACTGACTTAGAAAACCATGATTTTCACCAAGATTTGAATTTTTAAGGACTAGAAATACAAAATTACAAAAGGTGATATATTAAACACACACGTGTGTATGTTTATGATATATATAAATATAGATTTTTTTTTACTTTTCTACTTTTCATTTATTGAAAAAAACAACTACTGATAAACCAAAGAGAAAGAGGAGGAAAAGCCTCATCTTCAGCTCTCTGCTGCTCTCTAGTGGTGGGCAGTGGTACAACAAGCTCGAATTGAACCAAATTTAATATCATATAATCCATCACTTTATTTTATTTTTATAAAATAGAATTGCTGACATTGACAAATTTCACAGACCACTTAAAAAAAAAGGTCTTTCACCAAGTTTCTCTGATTATATGAGCCCAGAATTAGAATTACAAAGAAAATATCAAGGAACCAAAATGAAGTGCTTTAGATATTTGACAGAATTAAATTATGTCTATGAAAACTGGATTTAATCTGAAACCAAAAATATTTTGCTGGTGATTTTTAATGGTGGACCGTCCAGGGTTTACCCCGCCTCTAGCCTACTGACTGGATGCATGGATGGAAAAAAAGCGATTATTAATTCCAAATTGCAAACAGAGGTAAAAAATAAATCATGTCCTGGTTTTACAAATAAATTACAAGTTATCTGATAAGTGGAGACACCGATAAGTAGAGCACGTCTTCCTCTCCTTTGGCTCTCCGCTGACAAAGACCAGGGCTGAAGAAAGTCACACACCTGAGGCCGGTGCGGCTCCCTGGGACGGGCCTCATGCTCCACAGCAAACCCATGGGCTCAATCCCGGTGTAGGTGCCTCCCACACTGGCATCTTCTGATACTGAAATGAGAAAAAAAGCTTCTTTACTGTCAGTAAATTAATAAAATTAAGATTTTCTGTTTCAGACGACAAGTCAATGAAATGTGGTTTTTGAAAAATGAATAACACATTTGATAAAAAGGGGGAAAAAATGTTTCTTAAAAGATGGAAATAAGCCAAAAACTATCGTCCAACAGTGTTTTATTAGCAAGTAACTAATGAGAAGGAGCCAAATTGCCTTGTCATTTGAGTCTTTGCTGTGATACAAGGATCTTAGCTCTAGTTTGACATGTTTTTTGTAGATAACTCTTCGAAATCCTGGCATATTTTGTTGTTATTCCTCGTTTTGCATCATAATAATATTCTGCCGTGTCTTTTAATGACCACTGTTTGACTTTTTTGTCGTTCTCTTTCTTTGTGGGTTATTCTCTCTTTGCTGATGCTTGCTTAGCAGATGCGTAACATGTTTTTGTTTTGCTCCACTGTTTATCAGAAGCAGGAGATGCTCTGTACAAGTCAAAATGCATCCTGAGCCTGATATTTGATGACCTAAATGCAGACTCCCCCCTTGAGAAGGTGGCATTTAAATCATCATCCAGTCTGTGGGAGACAGGCCTCAGTTTCATGACACCAGGCAGAACCCACCGGACACGCTGCCCCTCTGGTCACTGACGTAGTGGCCGTACGCCTCCCAGAAGTCCTGGTCCTCAGAGTGGTGCAGGGAGCGGATGGTCACCGGACAGCCGGGCCGCAGGTTGTCCACCCGCACGGTCAGCTTCTCATCCACCAGAGCCCGCAGAGGATGGGCCGAGAGGAGAGGAGGAGCAGCCTCAGACATGGCGGCTGCTGCTCTTCTATGGAGACACACAGATGCCAACCTGTTAACCCACTCTCCAACATGTAGGCTACGCCTGCCATAATTTAATATTTCTGAGCTCTGCGAAAGTTAAACCAGCGCATAAACAAAATGGCTCACTGTTTGGCCATTTATTTTTAAGAGGTTTGAATAGTTTTGGCAAATTTGAACTCCAATGCGAACTGTCAAAGCGGGTCTACCGCAGCCTTTAACTGAAGGTCGCGCGGTAAACCCTAACAGGCGCGTGCACCCGGCGGAGCAACACCAAGATTCTTCGGCCGAAAAAGTAAATCCCAAAACAGTCCCGGGGAAAGGGTCAATGGTGTATATTAACTTTTTACGAAGTTCGGTGCGAGTCGCTACTAAAACTTTTAAGAGGCATGTAAAGGGGGAAAAATCTAACATTAGATAGAGAACAAGGTGTCACAGTAGGGATAAAACGACATTTGAGGTAACAGTGCAAATGTCAGCGCACAGATTTGATGAAAACAGCACAAACTGAACCGTGACTCGGTCTTACCTGCGTGCTTCGGTCAACTCTGAATGAACTACACTTGTAAAGTTACTGTTCTTTGCTCTTGTTGAATGAAAGCAAATAACAAACCTCTGCATTACCGCCGCCTACCGGTGCGGAGGTCCAACAAAAATGGGTGAATAAACACCATCTAAAATAATTTTTAAAACAGTCAATTTTAAGAAAAATCAAGAAGTTACACAAGAAAACGTTTCGAAGCATAATAAAAGAGAGCAGAAATAAAAACTGATGATATTGGAAAGAGTTTTAAATAAATAAAACTGAAAAAAAACAATAGATAAAAGAAACCCAAACTAAAGACTAGGCACAATAAACAAACCTGACCAAATGACCATGAGGGAATCAACAACCAGCCAACTAAACCAACCCCGAAACTCTACTTGATCACAAGTAAAGACTGCTAAAAACACCATTCACAATACATTCTGTGCAATATGCAATATCCCATCCCACAATGTGAGATATACACACAATAATTTTCATAGAAGTAAAACCCTTTACTGTAATATAATGACTTTCATACAAAAAAATTAGGAACACTGCTCCAATTTGGTGCCATCTATGTACAGTAACAACAATAAAACAATGATTTATGTACAATGTATAGTATATACTAATCTACACATCTAACCCCATTTTTTTTTCGTCATAGTTTGCCCCGTTTTTGGAGTTGGCTTTTAATCACATCCTATATGTGTACAGTCACAATAACTACATTTTATTTGATTTCTGGAATAACCTTAGGACATTTTGGTTGATGTGAACAAATCAAAAGAGGCCCAAAACAGATTCTCGTCTTCGGAAAGTGAGTAACTCCACATCAAAATTCAGTTTGTTCTCATAGGTTAGCTTCAGAAAACATTGGCCGAGAGCAAAATGTTCTCCTGCAGCTCTGCTGATGTGTGAACATGAGGTAATAAAAAATGAAAACCAAATTGGCAGCTAACAAAGGCAAAAGGAAAAGGGCTCAGCTCTGCGTCCTCAGCTGCTCTGGACTTTTAACCCTATCTGCATGACTTACTCAAGTTTTTAAGGGACTTACTGCACAATGTGTTATGCCAGTCCTGAAGTGATTAAATCGGACTGTTCAACTAAAGCCATAAACAGAAAAGCTACTCTGGGTCAAAGTGGAATGGACAAAGTGCAGGCAAACTAACTAAAAATAACGGTAATCCTCTGATAACACAGGCGTCACAAAACTAGAAAATGTGAAGGCAGAGGGAGATTGGAAGGAGCACAAACAAGTGCGGTTAAAGAAAATAATCACTGAATGACATAAATTGGCTAAATGTTTTGCAAATAAAAGGACAAAAGAAAAGACTGTAATGACTCTGCATTTATAAGTGACAAACAAGAGGCTGTAGACACAAAGCAACATAGATTCAGAAGTGTTGAGGGAATACAGACGCCTGGAACTTTATCTGGACAGCTAACAGATGACAGTGCCATATTATGGTTCGGTTCAAATGAAGACTAAACAAACTGCTTCCTAATAAAGCTTAAGCTCTACAATACCCGTACCAAAGTGCTGCATATCTTCTACAAATCTCTGGTGAAGACTCTGCTTTGCAGCTTTCAGCTGGCGAAACAGCATCAGAGTCTGTAGCTCAAACTAAACTGATAAACTCATAATGAAGGCTAACAAAACCTTGAAAGAGAACCACAGGGAGTTGATGAAAATCGCCATAAATTGAGCAACAACTAAACAAAAATGTTGATTCATGCACCAGTCACTGCTCCACTAAGCCATTTGATAAGCTGGCAGCTCTAGCAGCTTTTCCTTATTTGTTTATCCTGACAAATATGTGAATAAGGAGATTTTTATTGGAAATTCAGCTGTCTTATACACTTCACTGTTCTCACAAAAAGATGAAACGTGGGAGCTTTTATAAGCTCGGTTTAGTTGAATGTACACATGAAGGATTCACTCTGATTCCCTTTCAGGCATATTTTTTGGGTGTGTTAGCCCTTTTTTAGCTCAATTTTCAGTTTTGACTTAGTTTTTTTTGTACTGAAGACAATTTTCTTTTTTTCTCCCATATAAATATGCTAAATGACAACAGAATTACTACAGAATATCACTCACGAGAACGTATTGCAGTTTTGCAATTTGACCAGCAGGGTGCACTGTTTCTACATTATTGTGTTAGGAACATTTGGTTATTTACCTGTATTCCTGTGTCCCCACTGCCTAAATGTTATACTGTTATTGTTTTTATTTGAAACTCTTGATGTATTAACTGTCCTTTCCTGAAAAATACTGATTTAAAGTAAAACAGAACACTACTGATGGAATTCTTGTTTTTCCCACATTATATGCGTTTACAATCCTTTATGCTTGGCCACAGTAAAATCATCCACAAATATTAAGTCATGTTGGCCATAATACAGTTTACCTCACCGCTCCCAGTCAAGTTCTTTTGGAAATCACCTCCACGTGCACTCTGTTCTTGCTTATGCTCACAAGCACAGCGTAACATCGCATTTCTTTTCTTTAAAACCTCCTCATCTCCTGAACTATGAAGTCATCACGATGCACTTCACGTTGTTTCTGTGCAGTGCATGGCTACAGATGATTCATATTCATGTTCACAGCCTGACTTACCCTTCTTTCAGTGACCGGGAGCTCCGATGATATCTCCTATGGAAAACCCATTACAGAGATTAACTTTCATTCCACGGGCCTTGATGCACCTGCACATTTTTAGTTGTCAGCTCGATGTTCAGCCTCTCTGACAAGCTGTATACAATCAATTCAGCAATAAAGGCTAAAGGGTTAAGATGTCACATATTTCTTAATGCTGCCTGAGAAGAATATAAATATTTATTATATTATTCGTGCACGTAGCAGGGAATGTAAGCACAGCTCGTGGAGAATGAACTGTTTGATGTTCTCCACATCTGCATGGTGTTAGGGCTCAGTCATTTCTCACGACTGCAGGCACAATTACATTTAAATTCTTAGGTCATTTTAGAATAATTAACTCTAGCATTTACTTTTTGGTCTCTCTTTTCACCTTCTTTTTTCTTCAATATGTAAAATCCCATCTGCTGTTTAACATTGTTAAAAAAAATCTCAGCATGCACTCAATAAGGACGAAGACTGTATCATAATCCTTCAGATGGAGCCAAAATATCAGAGTAAATAAAGTAAAAGTCAAATTTACCTAGCAGAGTATTTTGAGAGGCTTATCTGGGACCGGGCTGCAGGCACGGTAATCCAAGCAGATATCCCTGGTCTCCACTGTGTGGACCCGTCTCCTCCTGCAGGGGACCGCTGAGAGACGTCCGGAGAGGAGAGAGTCCGCAGAGATCTTCTTCCTTTATTGCATTTCTGTAACATCTACCCTGAGGAGATGCTGAAAGTATCTTAACTGGTTCTATTTTTAATCGAGAAAAATGACCCTACTCCTCATTTCCAAAGGCAAAACCAGCCAAAGGGCCACTGCAGAGGCTGTCCTCCAGCTGTGACAAGAACCAACAGATACTCAAAGTCCCACTGAGCCATCTCCAAATGGAAAAGATACCGTCGTAAGGCCCCAAAATCCATCCAAGAAGCTCTTTTTCACTTGTGCTACAGACAACAAGTAATCAAAAACCTTATCAAGTAACCAAAAATCTTATGTCATAACATCTGGCAGTGTAGGCTTCAATCAAATCACTGGTGGAACTGCAAGGCTGTGATAGAAAGATAAAAAAGTAAGATATGGATGTAATAAAGAGATTGGATTTATGCAAATAGTCCAACAACACAATGCCACATAAAGTAGACAGAAGCTAAAATGTATAATGGCCATATTGAAATATTTGAAACTGCAAATCATATTAAACAAATCTGAATGTTTTCTTACTCCGATTGAGGTCAAAGGTCAGATTGCAGCAATACGCACACACACAGGTAGTGAAAAGACGACTTGACAGATTGTACACATTGTAATCTCCTCTCAAATTGAGATTGTGCTCCACGTGAGGGACCATGTGACTTAGCAGGCGGAGAGGACACTTTTGTGACACTGAAAACTGACCTCATCTCTGACCCATTAATCTGACGTCGTCACATAGCATGTGCTTTGTTTCCTCACAATGAGACATGCTACATCTGAAGCTTTACCACCCGCACAAGGAAAACATTCAAAAACATTTTTTCTCCTTATATGTACCTCCAATGTCCTCAAACGTTTAAACACAAAACCTTTGAGATTTGATCAAGTTAAACACACGTACATAGCTGCCATATTTATTGCCGTCATAAAACAATAGAAAGTCTTTCATGCTCTGAAATAGAAAGGTCAGTGTTCGGCTGCTCTGCTGGTTCTGATTATCCTCCTGCCAGTCACATTTCAACAAACCCTGTTGTGTGAACTCCAGCGATACAGCATTACACACCACCGCCTCCACGCACACTCATGATGTTACCCGGACACAAAGGTCTCACTCATTATCAGTCCTTTGTTTGAGAGTTGGATCAAATAAAACAAAACAACAACCTCCCTGATATCTGATATATGCATATCATTTAATTATTCTGAGTCTTTTCATTTCTTTAAAACATCACTGTAAAACAAAAGGAGCTACAACTTATACCGTCTTATTTTTTAGATGTCCCTGGGGAAACTTTTGCACTTGTAACGATGATGGATGAGCTCAAAAGGGGTTTTAAAAGGAATGCTGGGACCAGCCGTAGCTCAGAGCTTGTGTTTTTATCTCAGTCAGCACCTTCAAACGTGAGGAGATCAAAACCAACGGAGCAAAAATCAAGATTTGAGTTTGCTGTTATCAACAGGATAACAGTAAAGCAAAGTCTTATCACTGCACGGTCAAGTTCTCACGTGTGTCTGTGTCCAAGGAGTGGTTTTCCTATCACAGAGCTCAGGTTTTGCCAGGATTGTTTTGGCAAATGACAACGTTCCTCCAGGACCTCCATGGTGCAACAGAGCACTGCAGCCAGGGCAACACAGATTCCCCAAAATGATTAGAAAAGAATATCCATAAATGACCTTATATTTAAGGTGTATTAGCTTTGAGCTTGTTTGAA